GGTCTTTGCAAATAAAATAGTCAGTTACTGTGTTTGAATTTTATTTGGTATATTTTTCATCTTAAAGTGCTCTCTGCCGAAAGTTGAATTTGCTGGCAAGGCATTGAAACACTTTTCTAGTCTTTTACAAAGAATAAAACTTATTATGGGGCAAGAATACCATAATAATGGAACATTACATAAGTAGCCATTCCATTAATAGACTTCCAAAAGTTTATGCTAACATATCTTCCAGTTTCCAGTCTCTGAGTTGTGTATGTTTTAGACTCCGCTAAAATGTGCCCCTGAGGGAAGTAATACTTTAGTTTGTTTGCATGATGGAAACTAGTCTTCATATTTGAACATTTTTCCAACTCTGTGTCTTGCAGATAAAGACTTTTGGGGATACACATCCTTTCACCAAACTTGTGGTTGATCTGGCGAATGTAGACCCTGATATCGCATATTCTTCAGTTCCCTACGAGAAGGGCTTTGCTTTGCTCTTCTACCTTGAGCAACTTCTTGGAGGACCAGGCAAGTCATTGGCATTTTCTGGGGAGAAAAAAAAATTTTGGGGGGGGGGGGGTGGTGTGTAACATGAAGAACAAGGAAGAATTCTGAGCTGTTGTTTTTGCTCCATTTTATTCTTGCAGTTCCTTCTGTATGTAGTTGCTGAAGAAACCTGTATCATTTTCTAATGTTACCTTTCTCTCTACTTAAAACCTTGGATCACCAAGTTCAAAATTGTGCTGCTTGACTTAAAAAAGCACACACTCTGACTCATCAGTATTTTACAAATTAGGAAATTATACATATTCATTGAAAAAAATGTGTGTGGTATAGAAGTAGATAGTAGTAAAAAGTGAGAGTTGCTCAGTGACCCTTCCCACTCCCCAAGGATAACCACTATTAGTGGTTTGGCGTGGATTGTTGCAGATGCTTTTCGGACTATAAATGAACAAATGGGCAGTTAAATATATATATCATTGTTTTGATTACAGAAAAGGAATCCTACTACATACTTATTCTACATTTCTTCACATATACTCTTCCATGTCAGAACATACAAATCTATCTTACACTTTTTAATGCCATCCTAGTATTACACAGTATGGATGTGCTGAGTGTATGTAACCTTTCCCATTGCTGGGTGTGTAGGTATTCTCCTTTGCTGAAGGACTTTGAAAGCCCTTCCTCCTGTGGGCCCATTCCGCCCGTCCGATATTTCTCTCCTCATTGAGTCATTGCCTTTAGAACTTGTGCTGTGTATTAACTTTTCAGCGTCTTCATTGTGTGATCCCTTTACCTATAATTAGGATTTCTCTTCTCCCTTCAATCAAGTTACATATGTTTTTCAAGTCCCAATTTAAGTCCTATCACCCTTTTTGAACACTCACTTTTCTCTAAATGTTCTCTGTGGTTAACAGTACAATGCCAATCACCAGAAAAAAATGTTAAATAATTACCTTTCCATTAATAGACTTTTTTTTTTAAACTCTTAGAGGTTTTCCTAGGATTTCTGAAGGCTTATGTTAAGAAATATTCCTACCAGAGCATTACCACTGATGACTGGAAGGACTTCCTGTATTGTCACTTTAAAGATAAGGTTGGCTTTTAAGAGTACTCTTCTTTTTTATGCCCAATATGTCTTTAATAGCTGTTTGCTAGGCTGGCTTGAATTATTTAATAGTAGTATTGGTCTAAGATTTAAGGCTCAATATTTTATTGTATTTTTTTTCTATTTAAAATGTAATCTAATGTGAAAAATTATCCTATTTCAGAGACATCTGTGACAGTGTTTTATAATTTTTTGTATGTACTTTTCATATTTATTTAGCAGAGCAAGATTAATATGAATTTATTTTAGAAAAGAGACTAGGAAATTATCTTGACATGGCAGTATAAATTATAGATTTGAGTACCTGAAAGCCTGTTTTAGATTTAGATTTAGATTTGGAAAAAGTTGTTCTGTAGAAAACTGGGTGTTCTTACTGTTCACAGGTTGATATTCTCAATCAAGTCGACTGGAACACCTGGCTCTACTCTCCTGGACTGCCTCCTGTGAAACCCACGTCAGTGCTCTCCCTGCTCACAGTTTCCTTCTCCTTCTCCCAAATCCCGAAGGTCCTCAAACTCTCTGAAAGGATTTCATACCTCCCTTAAGCTGTTACTAGTTAGTGATGAGACCAGAGCTCTTAGGTGTTTGAACCTTAACCCTGAGGTCAAAAGAACAATCTCCGTGGTATTTAAATCAGTTCAATTAATTGCATGTAATTATTTAGTGCTTCCTTTTTGCACAAGGATAGTGATATATAAAGATATTGCCCTTTCCTTGGAAAATATCTACAATAAGAAAAATGACCTAAGTATTATGTTAATCATGATAACAGTGTTATAAGTTATCATTTCCAGAGGAGGCAAATGAAGTTTCGCTAGGTAAAGTGTCTTGCCCAGGGTTACACAACAAATAAAAAGAGAGTCGAACCCTGGTTGTCTCATCTTCTCCAGTACAGAGACTTTTAAACTAAGTACCTTCCCCAATCAGGAATCCGAATCCTGGTCGGCCACGAGGATGCAAACTCGCGCATGTTCTAGCCAGGAATGCTGTTCCTGTTATCTGGAGTTACTCCGTACCCAGTTAATTCCAAACTCAGTGCGAGGATTTCTTGTGCTGCCTCTTCATAGCTGTTGACACAGTAGTAATTCCACTTCACTTGTGTGGTTATTAACATCTTTCTCCTTTCCTACATGGAAGCACTGTGAGAGCAGGGCTCATACATACCTGGTTTTGCTCACTACTTTTCGTAGGACCTTGCCATAAGTAAGGTTGCTTTCCTCCTTGAGCTAATCCCTACCTAGTTCTTTTCATTACAATGAGAAGGAAATTTCAGGGCACCAAGAAACAGACCAGCCAAAAGTTTTTTTCTGTCCTTTCTATTGGTGTGTTTTTTCTTAAATCAGTGCTAAGTAATATTCTAGTTGAAGGTGATTTACTGCCTGAGCAATCCAGGGTCTCTGATCCCATTTGGTCTTGAGGACAGACCAAAGGGTTTGGCTAAAGTCCACAGCCTGATTGCTTCGTGAAGATAAACTGGCAGCTGACTCAAAGGTCACACTGCCTTCACCCTAGAACACAAACTCTCCTGAAGCAGAGTTCAAGTTCTAATCAAAACTTACTTTATGTGGGTCCTAAGGCAGGTACCTCTCTGATCTCTAATAGAAACATTTCACAGCAAGCAAGCATGACTTACAAAGAAGGCAATGTTTTGCAAGAATTTTGCACACATCATACGTTCTCTTCCATTGTTGTAAAACATGACTTGTTTTCTAAGGTGAGAACATACAGTTGGAGCATGCTTGGTTTAATGGTCAGAGTTTGCTATTTCCACCTCTTTCTGAAAAGAGAGAAATGAAATTATCATCACATGATTTCAGAGTCTCCCAAGAGTCTCTTGTGACAGCCAGTATTTCCCCAATGGTTAGAACAGTGTCTGTCACGTAAGTGCTTGCAGATTTATTGAATGGTTCGGTGGTTGGAACAAGAGAATGTAAGATCCATGAGAGCAAGGACTCTGTTGTTTGTCTGCTGTCTCAGTGCCCAGAACTGCTCCTGCCATACAGTAAAAACTCAGTATGCTCAGCTGAACCCCAGCTCCTTCAGCATTTACCACCCAAGCTTATGGCAGTCTTGGCTGAGATGTTTTGGCACTCTCTCCAAAGAGTAATCAGAGCTTCATGAATTTGGTGTCCACTTGGATTTCCAAGTTCCTGGATGACGCCAGTCATATTTAAGTCAGGCAGACGAGTTCCCGTTCCCAGCACCTTGGAGATCTTTGTCTTTATTTAAAAATAACTTTGAGATTTAAGTATGTTCTGTAACCTCAGAATTGCATTTATGCAAAAGCATGTGCATTTTTTTCAATTTAATCTCTAATTTTTTTTATCTTTGCAGTTATGACATGACCCTGACAAATGCTTGTATTGCCTTAAGTCAAAGATGGATTACTGTGAGTAATACTGAGTGACTTTTGACTCCTAATTGAGTTGAACAAATATGTCTCTACACATGAAGGTGGTGGGTGAGGGGTTCTGATTTTTCTTACTTCTTTTCAAGCTCTTAAAATAAGTATGCAAAAATATCTGTATTTTCTCATTTCCTCATAAATCATTTTTAAGCTCCTCCTTCAAATATAGCCATTACACATACCGAGGAAAGCTAAATTGATCTTGGGTACTGTTTAGTGCCAACTGTTAGGGAAGAGTGGAGGCACTTATGGTCTGTTGATATCACTGTTCATATCTTCGAAACACCATAAAGAGCAGCTTCTTCATATATATACTGAAACTAACCCTGAGAGAAACCAGCGTGAATACAAATCTGGGATAATTCTTACAGAGGAGGAAAAATAATTTTTTCTCTTCCCTCTGAGTTCCCTGTAATAAAAGACAGATTAGCCGGGCCGGTGTGGCTCATAGGTTGAGTGTTGACCTATGAACCAGAAGATCACGTTTTGATTCCTAGTCAGGACACATGCCCGGGTTGTGGGCTTAATCCCCAGTGCGGGGAGTGCAGGGGGCAGCCGAACAATGATTCTCTCTCATTGATGTTTCTATCTATCTCTCTCTGAAATCAATAAAAATACATATATATTTTAAAAGACAGATTAACATGATTGGTACAAAGGATGTCAAAAGTTTCCTCCACTCTTACTACTAACAGTCTAATTTTTAAAAATAATATAGACTTTAGAAGTCATAGTGATGTAATCTCAGAAATATTAAAGTAGCTAAGGCTTTATTTTTTACAGTTTTATATATTCTTATATTTCTGTCTTTTTCTTAATTTTACTTCTATGTCAGAAAACCAATAACTATTAAATTTTACAGAAATGGAAATAACCAAGTAACATTTATTATAGGCCAAAGAAGATGATTTAAGTTCATTCAACTCAACAGACCTGAAAGATCTCTCTTCTCATCAGTTGAATGAATTTTTAGCACAGCTGCTTCAAAAAGTAAGTACCAGCTCAAAGCATTAGGAATTGGAATGGGCATAAGGCATGGCATTTACATCAAACCCAGCCTGGGAGAAATGTTAAGGTGGAAACCAATAGAAAAAAATAATTTATAAAATTCATTCACTTATTCAAAAATATTTGTTGAATGCCTAGTATGTTTAGTATTGTGCTGAATATAAAAATACACATAAGAAATACACCATGTCCTCAAAAAGTTTATAATCTAGTAAGAAAGGTCACCCATGCAAAATTTAGCAATAAAAGGTGGTATATTTTATGTACCATTTGAAAAAAGTTGATTAGGAAGAAGGGACTCCCAACTGGCATAATCAAGGAAGGATTTGGAGCAGTGGGGCTTGCTTTGAGCAGAGCAGTGTTAGCAGGGAGGGGAAAAGTCAAGGCCAAGGGGGCAGCAAGTGACAGAGAGTGCCCCGTGCTGCAGTAGTAAATCATCGCTCTGGTTAAGGAGTTAATGAAGGCAACACTAGGCAGGCTGGTGGGGTCTGATGGGGTAAGTCTTGAATGCTGACAATTTTAGATGTTATGCTAGTCAGTAGGAAAGGATCTAACGTGTTTAACGGGAGAGTCGTTTGATGCAGTGGTGTTATGGAAATTACTCTGCTGGTGATGTGAAGGATGGGTTGACATGAGGAACAACCGTGGTGGCGTTAGGTGGGAGGCTTGCAGGAGGACCGGGCGTGAGGGAGGGGCAGTGGGAAGGGAAGGATCAGGAGAGATGAGAGGGACATCACACAGGATGAAAGCATAGGGTTTTGTGACTGACCAGATTTGGAGGTTACCAGGGAAGAATCAATGCAGATTTGAAGGTTTCAAACCCAAGTAATTAAAGCAATATTTCACTGAGAGGAGATGCTACATTTTGAGAGGGAGGTAATGACTGGGCCTTTACTATTACATAAAGGGAGCTCTCAGGTCTAAGGACCTTGAGAGGGACGGAGGAGACTTTGAACAGGATTTCCTATGAAATGAGCAATGGGATTTCAAGGCAACAGGGACCTCAGAGAATCAGTCTTTAGTACATCAAGTCATCATGACTTCACAGATGTCTAAGTACCACTATGTGGCCTAGGACCAGGAAGAAGGAAAACGTGAGGGGATGACTGGGAAATAGGGACAGCAAACGTGGGGGAGAGTAGGGAGCCTAGGGGTGATCTTCACTGGCTGAGCTTCCAGGGCGGCCTTGGAATTTAGTTGAGACTAAACAGTTTGGAAGGATCTAGAAGTCAGTAAGAGCAGAGATGATGGGTGAGTGTGGAGTGAGTTTTGTAAGAAGAGGTCATGGCTGGAGAAGAGAATTACCATCTACCCAGTGGCACCTCACACTCCACTTGTCCAAACTGAACTTTTCTTTTCATCACGCAAACCCTTCCTGTTAGATGGGTTAAGATGAACACAGGAAATTTATGAACCCCTGAAATTGTATATAAAAGTTTGTATTTCTATGATAAATGTGGTGGTGTTTTGTTTTGTTTTTTGTTTGTTTGGTGTTTTATTTTCCCACAAAGAAAGGGTCCAGTCCATCAGATTCTGAAAGGAGTCTGTAATATAAAAGTTTAAACACCGCTGTTTTTGTAGGGCTGTAGATAATTTAAAAGAGATTTCAGAGGAAATATGCAAAGATAAAGCTGTGGGGGGGGGGGGATTCATGAGGAAAAAAATTGAGAAACTGTGACTTAATCTGGAGAATGGAATAAATTTAAAATATATCAGGAAGAACTTGAAAGACTCTGGAAAGAATCTGCAAGTTAATATTTACAAGTACTAAAATAATCCTAATTTAGTTCTCTGTATACCTCACAAATTAAATTACCCCTTTGCTCCTGGTAGAATATCCTTATCCAGAATAAGTTTGCACAAAATTTATTTTTGTGTGCATTTCTTTCTTTTATTTTTACTTAACTTACTTTTATATTATAAAATATTTAGGATTTTAATCTGGCTAAGAATCTCTCTCCAGCTTTCTTCCAAGGAATCCTGTTGAAATGATACATTATACTTTTTTCATTTTGCTCTTAGGCACCTCTTCCATTGGGGCACATAAAGCGAATGCAAGAGGTGTACAACTTCAATGCCATTAACAATTCTGAAATACGATTCAGGTACATCATTTTAACTTGTCTCTGTGGAAGAAAGTAGAAAAGTAATTTTAACTGTGGAGAAAGGGAAAGCAGTCTTGAGACATCCTTGTCAGTTTTATTACTTCTATATAAATAATTACAGTGCTTTTTAAGGAATAGTTGCAATCTCTATAAGATGACAGTATTAATCTTTTTTATTAGAATCTGATCAAAGCTTTTCTTGCCTTTAAAAAAGATTAGGTTTGAGGACTCAATGGTAAATAGGTGTTCTCCCACAACGCCAAAGTAACTCTGAAATGAGAATAGTTAGGAATCTCTGGTTCTATAATGTGGTTAAACTTTCTTAATTTAGATTTGTAGTGTGAGGCTTAAACCAAAGTTTAATTCCTTCAGAAATTGCATATATAAGGTACATGAGCACCTACTTACTCCAGACCTCTTAAAACGTATGATCTTTTAAAAAAACAAATTTCTCTTCCTTCTCTTCTCCAATTATTAAATTGTATATGTAAGTATTTGAGAGTCTCAGAATAAAGACATAAAGTGGTGTGCAGTGTAACCATAATAGGATTATTTATCATTACAAAAGTTATTTTCATATATACCTGTCACATCCTGCCTCTTCCTCCTCCTTTCCTACCCCATATCCACTAAAATCCCACTTTCAGATGGTTGCGACTCTGCATTCAATCGAAATGGGAGGAAGCAATTCCTTTGGCTCTAAAAATGGTGACTGAACAAGGAAGAATGAAGTTTACACGACCCTTATTCAAGTAAGAACCAAATCAAATTATGCTTTGAATTTATATAAGATTGGGGAAGAAAAAAAAAAATTAAATCAGTGTTTTTGTTATTGCTAAAATACTTTGAAAAAGGAATCTAAAAATAATACATATTTATATTTGTTAAAGGATATAGAATTTTTGTATAGGAACTAATACTTCTAAATATTTAAAATTTGAGATAATTTCATTAACTTTTAAGAAGCATTATATATGATTTATCTCTTATAGGCCAAATGGGGTTAGACAGTGATGAAAAGTAAGTAAATCAAAGATAATCTTACAGATACAGAAAGATCTTTAAAAGCAAGTAGAAGATAACTAGTGAGTAGGCATGGTCAAGAAAAATGTCTGAAGATGCACAGAGCAAGTAAAGTCAATTTATTTATTTTTTAATTCACATGTTGCAGTGAAGTAAAAGAGTAGTTGGGTGACATAAAGGAATGCTTGATTGCAAGATACATTGAAAAATACCTCAGTAAAGTTATTTTGACTATGAATTTGGCAGGAATTCGGGGGGGGGAGGGGATACCATGACAAATATTCATGATTACTTAAAATTTGCCAAAACAACAAAATAATTTCTTCTTCTTCTTCTTCTTCTTCTTCTTCTTCTTCTTCTTCTTCTTCTTCTTCTTCTTCTTCTTCCTCTCTCCCTCTCTCTCTCTCTCTCTCTCTCTCTGTCTCTCTCTCTCTCTCTGTCTCTCTTTTTTTAGGGACCTGGCTGCCTTTGACAAGTCCCGTGATCAAGCCATCCGTACCTACCAAGAGCACAAAGCTAGTATGCACCCTGTGACTGCCATGCTGGTGGGCAAGGATTTAAAAGTGGATTAGGACCTGTCTGATGCTCATGTCAAGCGTTTCTCTTTTTTAAATCGAATTCATAAAAAGTATAAAACTCCAGCTCATAATGTAACTAAAAATGTTTTTATGTTTGGCTTTTTATTGTTTTGTCAGTGATTTTCATAAATAAAGCTGAGCTACCTTCTCCCTTACCCCCAAATTCCCAATGGCATGTTCTTTATAAAGTGAATTTTCTAAGAGTTTAATCTTTTGATTTATAAATGCAAAATTTTCAGTTTCATATTTCTTTTCTTCCAGTATGGTCACAATATGTGTGGACATATTTTCCTGTTAAATTTTAAGTTCTGTAATTTGAATCTGCTGCATACCAAGAATTCAGCAGGATTAGAGTTTTGCCTTTTAAGTATAATAACTATAGCGTGAACACTCCGTGGGATTAGCTCATCACCCAGCTGGTGTGTATACAATGAACTCCCGTATCAGAGTGTGTCAACTCTAGGGGACCCCTCTGCTCCTCATGCCTGGGTCCCCTGCTGATCCACTGGACTCACCCTGCTCTCCTTCCTGTCCATTCCGGTCTGGTAACCACTCTGAACACCAGTACTTCCCATCAGTCTCTTGATGGTCTGTTCAACTTGCCTCAACTCTTCAGCGGTCAGCAAACATTCTTCACCCACATAGAGCATAGAGCACGTGGAAAGAAATATTGAAAACAATACAACTTGATCCAAATAAGAGAGTAACAAAGTATGCTTGTGCATGCCATGTAGTGCCCCAAGGTGCCTCAGCACACAATTTGGGGATCGATTCGTTAGGATTCTTTGATTATAACTGACAGCAACCAAAATTACTACAAGTCAGAAAGGGAATAGGATGATTATTTTCAGGATACAGGTAGAGGGAGGTTATCGGAACCTGTGGACAGAAGGAGCCTGGCACCCAGGACTGAAGAGCCATCAATACTCTGGCCTCATTTCTGGTTCTCTAGTCCACATTGTGTAGTCTGGCTGCCCCAGCTTTCCTGTTATAAATCTTACCATGTGGAGACACTGCCTTGATTCCAAATTTCCAGAAGTGAGACTGACCCAGGTTGGGTCCACTCCTGGCCAAATAAACTCTAGCAAAGAGGAATTGTGTTTTTGAGTATAAATGTGGGTGGGGGTATATTATTGTTAAATACCCTCCCCCCACACACAATTGCTGATGTAGTGACACAAGTCACAGAACAGGAGCAAATACCCCGAAGGTGGGGCAGGTATCAGAGAGATTCTGTCCATGCCTGTAAGCCTGAGTCTGCTGATTTCATTCTCCCTGGACATGGATGTACACTGCAGTTTCTCAAACTCTGTGCCAGGAATAGCAGGGCAGAGAGTTCAGCTCAGACCCCTGTCTATAATTGTGTTCTAAGTAATTAGACTTCAGTAAAGCCACACGATCTTTTTGAAGGCTGGCCCTCTAAGCTAACCACATATTCTAAGCTAATGTCGCTTTTCTATTGAAAGGGAAGCTGGAAGGGTGCTATGAGGAAGGTAGAGGGCGCTAAAGACAAACGTCCAAACAGATTTACCTGGGGCCAGCTCAATGGAGTCTATATTCACCTCAGCTAATAAGCATCTGTTCAGTGTCTTTGTGCCAGGATGTGTATACACATAATTTCGAGATGAACAAAGGTAAGTAATTTCTATAAAATGCTAAAGAAGAGGTACACTAAAGCAGCCCGGAGAAAGGGGTTTAGTGGATGCTTTCTGGAGAAAAGGAAGCATGAATGAGTCTTAAGGAATAAGAAAGGTCTTATTGGAGGTGTGTTCCGGGTGGAGAGAGTTACAAGGGTTTAGACTTATGGGTGTTTGGATCGTGAATTTGGACAGAACCAGTGAAAATAGCTTATCTCTGCTCTACTGTGTCTGGGGCCTGAACCGGGAGCCTGAGATCTCAGTGTAATGCAGTTTGCTGGGAGCTGGTATCATCTGGAGCCTTATTCCCTCACATGTTCCATGTCTGGCCTGGGGTTACTCAAAAGCTGGGCTCAGTTTGGGTTTTCTCTCAGCACAGGGAATAGTTGGACTTCCCAGTCTTCCTTATATGTCTGCATCCATCCCCAGAGAGTAAGCACCATCAAGGCAAAGAATACATTGCACTTATTTCATCCCCAGCACCTAGCACAGTGCTTGGGACATAACAGGCGTTCAAGAAATACTTACTGGAAGAGTGAATGGAAGGGAGCAGAAAGTTAAGCTACTTCATGTCAAAGGGCCTCCATTTTCTGAGAGGTAGGAGGTAAGGTCTTCCTCTGAGAATAAGGGGAGGTGGATATTGAAAAGGTCCTTGAGGCTCTGGTGAATGTTTTGGGAAGTGGGCGGGCAAGCAGGAGGGCAGGGCCACCATCTGCGCCATCACAGGACTTTCTGTAGCAGAGCCTCTCCTGGGTGGACACAGTTTGTGTGGTGTCCCAGGGGTCCGGTTTCACTCAGAGTGTAGGCACAGGTTTAATGTTAAAAAGAAGTTTCAAAGTGTTGAAGAAAGTGGTCCAGGTGGGCAACTAGGGTACTGGCTTCCCAGGAAAGTAAGTGAAGAAGCAGGGAGGAGGTGGAGGGCAGAAGGTCAAGTCCTAAGGGCGGACATGACCGAAGTAAATTGGTGGGGGCAGAGGGGGTATTGCAAGGCTATAAAGCTGTGGCCAGAGGTGGCCATTGGAATGGAAGATTATGTGTATCAAATTCACGAGATGACAAATTCAGAGTGCGGTTAGAACTCGGGTGGCTCAAGTCCAATTTCAATAAGGCTCAAGGCATGTCAGCTCTTTATTTGTATGCATCCCGGGAAGCTGCTGGAGAAAGAGATGCTGGTATCACTGATTTCTGTGAGCAACTGTGTCTCTAGTCCCAGCAGAAATCTGTTTTAACAGGAACAGACCTTTTAGGATTCTTTTCTATTGTGTTAATCAAATCTCTAAAAACTGGCTTACCACTAAAATGCTGCTCAACTAGTGCCCACTACTAGACTAGTCCACATTTCTTAGATCCCTTTCATGCTCTTCAGACTTTCTTGATACCAGTGGCAATGACTTGGGTGCAGGGAGCTTAACTGGATTGGGGATATTCATGTACAAAGATGAAAGAACATCTATAAAACTAAATCAGTATAGAGGGCACTAAAGTTCAAATAATACTCACAAACACGCCGGTAGCATTTTCAGTGTACCAGGTGCAGCTGTAAGGGCTTTCCATACATGAACTCACTCAATCCTCTCACCAAACAGACCTCTGCAATTGATACTACCAATAATCTCCATTTTATAGATGAAGAAACTGAGGCCCAGAGAGGTCCAACAACTTGCCAGAGGTCACAGCTAGTAAAAGGCAGGCCCAGGGTTGGATCCCGGGCAGACAGGGCGAATCCTGCGGTGAAGCATTTATTCCTGTTCCCTTCTGAGGAGGAAACCGGCGAATTAAGAATTTACTGGCTGGAGGCTAACCAGCTGTGGGGCGGAGCTGGCGTTGCCTCCCATGGCTGGCTGGCAGAGCTGTTAACTTGCAAGCCCTGGCTCTTGGACCAGACAGTGACCTTTGAAAAGTTGTGAAAACTATCTCTGGCCTCCGCAGCCTCCCGCTGTGGAGGAGCAGCTCGGAGAAAACCTGAGCGGCGAGAGAGTTCTTGCTCAACACCTGTTTGTGGAATAAACAAATGAGTGAGGATTGCCACACTTGCTGGTGTCACACTTGGCCGGCAGGTTATTTCACCGTTGAGTAATCCCCAATCAAGACAGGGACATGGTGTTTATAAGTTGCTCCTGATGGACGAGAATGCAGACAGGAACCCGCGAGGGGAAGAGACCGGGAAGAGAACAGGGCTGCTAAGACCCCCAGGCTTTCCAGCCCTGGGGCTGCATCGCTGGTGTGTGTGTGTGTGTGTGTGTGTGTGTGTGTGTGTGTGTGTGTGTGCAGGCAGCTGGCCTGCCTGCATCCCCTCTGGGCCTCTAGCTCAGCTGCAAAAACCCACAGGGACACCGGGCCCCGGATAAATATTTGCAAGAGGGAAAGGCAAGGGAGGTGGCGTATTTTGAAAGTCCATCCTCGCCCTCCTCCACCCACACCTTGGCGGCCTCTGCTAGATAAAACTGCCCGCTCCTGGTGCCTGTCCCCAGTGACTGTCGCCTGCGGAGCAGCAGGACGGAGCAGCAGGTTGCAGTAGCCTCTGGGTGCTGCAGGAGCGGCGGGAGCCATGCCCCGGTACACGGTGCACGTGCGCGGCGAGTGGCTGGCCGTGCCCTGCAAGGACGGGCAGCTCACAGTGGGCTGGCTGGGCCGCGAGGCCGTGCGGAGGTACATCAAGAACAAGCCGGACAACGGGGGCTTCGCCTCGGTGGACGAGGTGCACTTCCTGATGCGCCGCTGCAAGGGCCTGGGCCTGTTGGACAACGACGACCCGCTTGAGGTGGCCCTGGAGGACAACGAGTTCGTGGAAGTGGGTGAGTGGCCCGAGGGCAGCGGCGCAAGTAGAGGCAGCACACGGCGTGGCTGAGTGTTATCTCCGGGGAGACTGGGCAGCCATCCATCCTACCCGCCGCCAGGAAAATGCATGCTGGCTGTGCGGCTGCTGCTAGGCCGCTGGGGGCCCCTGCTGAGAAAGGGGGGTTCTATCCACCTTTTACCACGAGGCCACTGGCTCCCAGAGGAGGCCACTTGTCTAGGGTCAGTCAGGCTGCTAGTCAGAAGCCAGGAGTAGATATGAGCTCAGGACTGCAGGTCTGAATCCCTTCGCAGTAATTGAATTACTTTGTCATATATAACTTTTTTAAAAAAATATTTTTTTAAATTGATTTCAGAGAAGGAGGGAGAGGGAGAGAGAGATAGAAACATGATGAGAGAGAATCATTGATTGGCTGCCTCCTTCATGTCCCTCTCCCCCCTGCCACCCCACTAGGGATGGAGCCCCAAACCCCTGGCCTATGTCCTGACAGGAAGTTGAACTGTGGCCTTCTGATTTGTATGCTCAATCACTGAGCCTCCAGGCGGGTATATATAGCTATTTTTAGAAACTTAATGGTGAAGATCTTTTAACCCTTCAATAGACTTTCACCAGATCAGAGGCCTGTGGCATAGAGTTGTTCAGATTTCAAGCAAAATAAAGTCGGGATGAGACAGAGGTGAGGGTTAGATCTTGAACTTCCATTTAAACTGGAGTCCACACCCAGCGCCTACCTCTCTGCCCTTTGCTCTTCGTCATTGTAAAGATGCTAAGCGCACATGGAAGTATCTGAGGTCCTTTTAAAACAGCTATTTCGGTAGAATTCAAAGGCAGTCGAAGGGCCGGCCCTCCTTTGCTGTATCACCAAGGCCAAAAGTGGCTCTCCTTTGTGATTGGTAAGAGGTCCTTCTCGTCTTCTTGTTTCAGTCATAGAAGGGGATGTCATGTCTCCTGACTTCATTCCATCGCAGCCGGAGGGAGTTTACCTGTATCCTTTCCTGCAGGCTCCGGGGCCTGCTCTGGAAGTGGGGAGGGGGGTATCATCCCTCCAGGGACAGGGCTGGGGCTGAGCCACACTCCCAGTGTTTTCCTTTACCTGGATTCAGGTACAGCAAATACCGAGAGCCTGAAAAGGTAAGCCACAAACCACTCTCTCTCTCTCTTTTTTTTTTTTTTAATACCTAGCTTTTACTTGAAACTACCAATTCTTTTATTTATTTATTTTTAATATATTTTAGTGATTTTTTATTTTATTTTATTTATTTATTTATTTATTTATTTATTTATTCATTTATTTATTTATTTTACAGAGAGAAAGGGAGAGGGATAGAAAATTAGAAACATTGACAAAAGAGAAAAACATTAATCAGCTGCCTTCTGCACACTCCCCACTGGGTATGTGCCCACAACCAAGGTACATGCCCTTGATTGGAATCGATCCTGGGACCCTTGAATCCACAGGCTGACGCTCTATCCACCAAGCTGAACTGGTTAGGGCTAAGCCACTCTTTCTGTTAAGAAAATGAAGTCCCCCTCATTCAAGGAGGGGGTGGGGAGCAAGAGTTATGAGCAACCACTACCAATTAGGACAGGACTTTGTCCAGCTCCATGTCGTAGGAAAAAGCATTAGGAAAACAGTCGTTATGCAGCTTCCTCTTAAGGTGTTTTTTATCGTAGCTCATTAATTGCAGTGATAAGATCTCTGAAGAGGCCAAGTTTGGTTCTGCCTGAGGCTTTCCTTTCTCACGAGCAGCTAAGCTGTTCAGACTCACGGAGACCCCTTCCTTTGTGCAGTACATCAACTTAGATGGGGACAGCCTGACCACGGAGGACCTGGTCAACTTGGGCAAGGGGCACTACAAGATAAAGGTAAGGGGGAGGGACGGCCGTCCTCTGACCCCTTTTGCCACACTCGGACATTTTCCACGGGCTCCTCTCCACCCAATGTTTCCCTAGCTCACCCCGACTGCGGAGAAGAAGGTGCAGAAATCCAGGGATGTCATAGACAGCATCATAAAAGAAAAAACGGGTATCTTTTCCCCTTTGTGTCATACAATTATTTTTGTGGACTTAAAGTAATATGTCCTGCATCTAATTGGAGGGTGTCTGTCTTTTTTTTTTTTTTTTTCCAGTTGTGTACGGCATTACGACCGGTTTTGGGAAGTTTGCCAGAACTGTGATTCCTATCAGTAAGCTAGAGTAAGTTTGGTTCCTGCTCACACACATCCTCCATGCCACCTATCCCCATTTTTCAGATTCCTTTCAGCAAGGGAAATAACATTTGGCCCACGGCCCACTTTACAGGTGAGGAGGAAGAAGATCAGGCTGATTTACACATGACCTGGTACTGCACATATAAGCTCGCTGGCTTCTTCCACTGCCTCATGCCCTCACCGTCCCTCCAAAGATGCACCTGTCCTTCTCCCTTCACTTCCCCAGACGAGGGGCCATTTTCATGACTATGACTATACCTCCCAGAAAACCCCATCAACACGTTGGTGAACCTTCTCCTTCTGGAACATTTTATATCACTTTTCTAAAGTCAATATTGACATGTTTCCAAATATTCTCCAATAGGTTAGAATAGTTACACACAACTTTTGGTCATAGGAAAAATCTCTCAATTCTATGTTTAGATCATTTCTAACTATTTTGTTCTTAGAAACATGGCTAGAATGAACCAGCTAGTGCCTGGTCACGTCTTTAAGATACTCTAGAAATTTCTAGATCAGATTAGAACATGCACAGTAACAATAAGAGGATTTTTTTTCCCCTTTCTCTTTCAGGGAGCTCCAGCTCAACCTAGTGCGTTCACATTCTGCAGGTAAATCATTCGAAACATTAGGTGCCTCCTAGATCTTATTCTGTTAGCTCCATGATTGGCAAACTGTGGCTCCAGAGCCACATGTGGCTTTTTGGGCCCTTGAGTGTGGCTCTTCCACAAAATACCACTGCCTGGGCAAAACTATTTTGAAGAAGTAGTGTTAGAAGAAGTTTAATTTTTAAAAATGTGGCTCTCAAAAGAAATTTCAATCATTGTACTGTTGGTATTTGGCTCTGTTGACTAATGGGTTTGCCAACCACTGGGTTAGCTGAATAAGGTATAGTGTGATGCATCCTGTAACAGTCACAAAGAGTCAATATATTCAGGGACTGGGTGCTTCAGGGGAGGGAGGGAAGCAGAAAGCAGCAGACAAGACCACCTTCCAGCTGAACCTCAAAAAAAGGCATGGGCCACGTAGAGGGACAGGACTGGGACACGAGCATCTGTACAGGTACAGTGATGCCAAGAGAATGGTGCACTCGGGACACAAAATTAGGGCTGAAAGTCAGGGAATGAGTTGATCAGGATGAGATGAGATTGTAAGGCAACATGTGCTGAGGAGTCTGGACACTATTCTAAGGATGTTGGGTGGGGAGTGGGGGCTTGCTGAAGTGTTCCAAGAAGGGAAACTGAGAAGGCAGAAGTGGGGTTCCACCTTTTTCTGATAGGTGAGACTTTAAAAAGCAAGAAAGTGAGGAGGGAGAGCAGTCCAATTCTGAATTAAGAAGTGAAGAAAGATTTGAGAAATGGAGGCAGTCAGGCGGTGGGAGAGTTTTTGTTTTCTGATTGTTTTGTAGGTGTTGGGAAACCACTCATCCCTGAGAGATGCCGGATGCTCTTGGCTTTGAGGATCAATGTCTTAGCCAAAGGATACAGTGGCATTTCCCTAGAGACCCTCAAACAAGTTATCGAAGCATTTAATGGTAATGCAATGGCTCCCTGACTGACCCTCTATTACCCTCCATTCAGGCTGGGCATCTCCCATAAGGTAAATCTGGTGGCACTTCTGGGGCCCTAGAGTTCTAAAGATCTCCCAGGGTGAACTCTGATCTGGAAGCTGGCCTGTGGGTGGCACTTCCGTTATCCTATTGTCGGTATTTAACAATTAGCAAAAACATGGCTATTAGGTGTCCGAGTTTACTTAGAAACCTATTGGGGACTTCCTTCAAAATAGTACATGTCCTTTTATACGTGATAGTGAAATGGCAGACTCTGAATCTGGTGCAAGTAGAGGTTACGTCGCCTATGACTTTACCTCCCAGAAAACTCCGTCAACACTCTGGTGAACTTTCTCCTTCTGGAACATTTTATATCACTTTCCTAAAATTAATATTGACATGTTTCTAAACATTCTTCCACAGGTTTGAATGGCCACATGCAACTTTTGGTCATAGGAAAATATCTTAATTCCATATTTAGATCATTTCTAACTTTTTTAAAATATATATTATTGGTTTATTTTATAGAGAGGAAGAGAGAGGGATAGAGAGTTAGAAACATCGATGAGAGTCATTGAATAACTACCTCTTGCACGCCCCATACTGGGGATGTGCCCGCAACCAAAGTACATGCCCTTGACCGGAATCGAACCTGGGACCTTTCAGTCCGCAGGCTGATGCTCTACCCACTGAGCCAAATCAGTTTCGGCCATTTCTAACTTTTTAAAAATATATATATATATTTTATTGATTTTTACAGAGAGGAAGGGAGTAGGATAGAGAGTTAGAAACATTGATGAGAGAGAAACACTGATCAGCTGCCTCCTGCACACTCTTCACTGGGGATGTGCCTGCAACCAAGGCACATGCCTCTGATAGGAATCGAACCCAGGACCCTTGAGTCTGCAGGCCAATGCACCATCTACTGAGCCAAACCGATTAGGCCATTTCTAACTTTTTGTTCTTAGGAACAAGGCTATAATGAACCAGCTGGCTTCTAGTCACGTCTTTAAGATACATTGCTAGAACTCTAGAAATTTCTATATCTGATTTGCACAGTAACAATAAGTGAAGGAGCAGAGGATCACAGGAGGATACGGGTTCCATATCACCTTCCCCCCACAGAGCCTGATCTTGATTGTTTCTCTACAGACAGTGTTCCCACCCACCTTCACACAGTCTTGGCTAAAACCTATAATGCTTTCTGTTGTCCTTGAGTAATTGTCTTTCTCCAGGCATCTGTACTAGATCCTGTTGGGCGAGGTGGGTCTCGCTGGCAAAGTGAGCTTGATCAGGAGGAAGTTGTCCTGGAGTAACTGCTGTCTACTTCACACCCCCCCCCCCCCCCCCCCCCCCCCCAGCCTCCTGCCTGCCCTACGTTCCAGAGAAAGGAACCGTTGGTGCCAGTGGAGACCTTGCTCCACTCTCTCATCTTGCTCTTGGCCTAACTGGAGAAGGGAAGATGTGGTCTCCAAAGAGTGGCTGGGCTGACGCGAAATATGTAAGACTTCAACAACAGCGTTCGTCGGCAGGATTTTCTCTGGGCTGGACACCAGGCGGCCAGCTTGCTCTCTATCACTTAATCCTGACAGCATCTCAGTGAGGGGCCCACTGTTATCCCTATCTTATAGATGAGAAAACTGAAGCTTTCAAACTAGACAAGGCTCTCAGCTTCCATACCCAGCTGTCAGTCTCTGGCCTTGGTGATCACCTTGGTGAAAAGGTGCAGCTGCCAGTGTTGATCCCAGGAATTTCTTCTGCACCTAAAACACTTCAGGTGCCTATCTGGAGGTCAGATGTTGCCGTAGGTTTACTTAGTTGCTAGTCTCACAGGTACTAAACTGTGCATCATAGCACTCAGTCTATGGCCTCGGGAAAGAAAAGGTTCCCTTTCCCAAAAGCTTCCACCTTATGGCTAATTAGAAAGGCTTGCATTTGTTAAAGCTTTTTTTCTTCGTTCATCTCCAAATTCCATCAGAGCAGTGCAAAGAATTATTTAAAGTGCCATCTCGGATCTACTGTTGGGAGGTCCCCTAACACTAAGCAAAGGGTCGAGGACCAAGGAGGAGGGAGGAGCTAAGGAAACAGATAATCCTTATGGGGATACAGGTTCCAGATCACCTTCCTTCCATGCAGACCCTTCTTCTTGTTCTCCTCCTCCTCCTTTTCTTCCTCCTCCTCTTCCTCTTTCTTCAAAATATATTTTATTGATTTTTTTTTTTTTTTTTTTTTTTTTTTTTTTTTTTTTTTTTTTTTACAGAGAGGAAGGGAAAAGGATAGAGAGCTAGAAACATGGATAAGAGAGAAACATTGATCAGCTGCCTCCTGCACACCCTACTGGGGATGTGCCCGCCACCAAGATACATGCCCTTAACCAGAATCAAACCCAGGACCCTTGAGTCCACAGGCTGATGTTCTATCCACTGAGCCAAACCGGATAGGGCCAGATTGTTTCTCTATGTACACTGTACAGTGTTCCTCTGGCCACCTTCACACAGCAAATATGAGCATGTCCTGGCTAACAGCTACAGTGCTCCCCACTGTCCTTAGGAGAAAGTCTGAACTAAAAGTGACTATAAGAGCCTTGTTTGTCATGTTCTCCTCCTCCTCCCTCCCCGCCAGGGTTCTCCATCACAGAAGCTGGAGGCTCCTTGCAGCTTGAATGTGCTGTGTCTTAGGCAGAGGGACCAGCAACATGTCTAAGCTCCTCTTCCCCAACCACTCCGGTTCCTCCTTCTGCTAAGTCCTCTTCCAGCAGAGAGAAACTTCCCTCTCTGCTCTTCTAGTTCTTTTCCCTACGCCCCAATTCTCCTTTCTTCCTCCTGTGCTCTCCTAGCATCTTACCTGATTACTTCTCACTGACCCATACCCTACCTCCTGTAGCACTTAACATTCTATTACTATAATTTCCCTTGAACTTATCAGTCTCTATTTTTTCCAACCCTAGCCCCAGCCCAAAATTCAGAATAATAGGCTTACTAATAGCCTTAGAAATTGGCATAGCAAATGGTGTAGGCTCTCTCTCTTCCATCTTTTCGAGAGGGACCTTAACTTATCGACTGTTTTTACTTCTTTTATTTCAGAGTAAAATCATTTGTCCCATTTTCCCTCAGGATTCTGTTCCTATCTATTAGGCCAACCATCTCCCCTTCATTGGTGCCCACACACCTGACACACAAGTGAGAAGCCCTGCTCTGACAACCAATATATCAGCCAGGGTTTATATATGTAGGAGGACTTTTGGGGTTAAGCTTCAGAGGTAGGGATTATAGACAGGCAGTCAGAGCCCAGCCTTAGTGCAGTACGGGTGTGCATATGTGCTCAGGAAGCTGCAGGAGAAAGGTGAGTCACTAATATGGACACTTAATGCAAGGACCTAGACACCAGAGCCCCTGTTTTAAATATAAATATCATTTGAAAGCAAAATATGCTTTCAGACTAAAGAGCAGAGCTAGAGAATTCCCAGAGATGATAAACAGAGCTAATGCACGTAGGTCTAATTCATATATATTGTATATAAGCCCCTAAGCAACTGAATGACTGAACGACCAGTCGACCATTGCTATGATGTGCACTGACTACCAGGGGACAGACACTCAATGCATGTGATCGGGCTCTCTCCTGTCTGGATTGGGTCTGTGGGGATTGGGCCTGCATGGATCAGGCTCCCTCCTGTCTGGATCGGGCCTGCAGGGATTGAGCTGAAACCTGCCATTGGACACATACCCTCATGTGTTCTGGATTGAAAGAGAGTGCAGGCCAGGCAGAGGAACCCCACCAGTGCACAAATCCATGCACTGGGCCTCTAGACTTTTATAAAGACAGACCTTTGGGCTGAAAGATCTTTTATTTGGTTCCTCATAAAATTAGTAATTATTACCCATTTTCATTTCTTAAATCATTCTTTAGGTCCTGGAAGCCCATGGATTGAAACCAATAGTCTTAAAGCCAAAAGAGGTAAGGGTGTTCAAGGGAAATTTGCCCATGTCAACAAGTCTTTATTTATACACTACTTTCAGTCTTAAGGCCAGTCTCACTGATTTATTAAAATAAACATGGCTCACATGTTTGTAGAATGTTGATCACTGAAAAAACAGCTCCTCCATCAGTATTTAAAAAATTCTTCATGCCATAAATGCTTAAGGGTTCTCTTACCTAAGAACTTAAACTTTAAATCAAGACCCCTAGGGATCCTTAAGAGACACTTGAACCCAGAATCCATTAGGATGCTCTAAGCCAAGAGTCTTGGACCAGAAATGTTTAGTGTATCTTGTCTACAATGATGATAAGTTAAAGAAGAAATGTAACATAATTAAAATTTTATATGCCTTCCACACTGGAGCTACTCTGTTGCCTTGAGAATGGGGATACTTAATAGCTATTCTATTTGCCAGATTTATAGTAGTGACTTCATGTAGGATGGCACTTATTCCTCAAGTGCTTAAATAATTATTACTGGCCTGCACTTCAGAAGACATGAATAAATATCCCTTAACAGACTGATGGGCTAACTTTCCTCTCATGAGAGCAAAAGATACTAAATCAACTTGTACATAGGCTTGTTACAGAAATACAGTAGGAACTCTCTCTCCTCTTCCCCCAAAGGGTCTGGCGCTCATCAACGGGACACAGATGATCACCTCCCTGGGCTGTGAAGCTGTGGAGAGAGCCAGTGCTATTGCGAGGCAGGCTGACATAGTGGCGGCTTTGACCCTGGAAGTGCTCAAGGGCACCACCAGAGCCTTCGATACCGGTGAGCATGGTCCCTCTGTTTGACTGTTATTCAGTCAACCAGAGCTGGTGGGGTGGGCTGGTTGGGGTCTTTAGACATGTGTGTGGTGGGGGCGAGTGTTAAGGAAGAAAGAGAATACTCAAGAGCCTAGGGTGTGCCCAATACAGCTACAGTTTCTCCTCAATTCTGCCACACTCAACACGTGAAATGACCGCAGTTTATAAATAGACGCTGACCCTGAGAGTTAAATAACCTGCCCCAGATCACCTAGGTCTGACTCTCATCAAACTAAATGCTGTTTAGTTTGCAGAGTTTTATAACTGCAATAGGATTGAGGTTGGTCCCCTGTAGAAAATTGGGGGCAGGGAAACTATAGAAATGGTAGCTTACTTTGAAAGACTATTATTATATGTAGTAGGACACTTCCTTAAATTAGACCACTATAGAACTCACTTCCATTATGAGCCTAAATCTTTTTAGGGTAGCCCAGCGTCTTGAGTTGAATTCTTAGTAGTTGAATTCTCAACACATAATTTGCTCTTGGAGATTCCAAAGAATAAAGACAATAAGGAGCCCTAGCTGGTTTGGCTCAATGGATAGAGCATCGGCCTGTGGACTGAAGGGTCCCAGGTTTGATTCCAATCAAGGGCACATGCCTGGGTTGTGGGCTCGATCCCCAGCGAGGGGCGTGCAAGAGGCAGCTAATCAGTGATTTTCTCTCATCATGGATGTTTCTATCTCTCTCTACCTTTCCCTTCCTCTCTAAAATCAATAAAAATATATATATTTTTTAAAAAGGCAATAAGGAATATCTTGCTTTTGGAGATAAGTTTGTACTGCTCGGTGGTGGTTAGGATCTCTGGGTCTTTTGAGAGCTGTGTCAGCACTGTGGATGGTTCTGAGCATCCATGGTAGTTTGTTCTAATATAAGAGTTGCTCAAGCTTTTTCTCCTTCATCAATTCTAGACATTCATGCCGTTCGCCCTCATCCTGGGCAAATTGAAGTTGCTTTTCGGTTTCGGTCACTCTTGGACTCAGATCACCACCCATCAGAAATAGCAGGTATGGGCATGTTTGTGTGAGTGAGCTTATTTGGTTTTGGGTTTTGTGTGTGTGTGTGTGGGGGGGGGGGGGGGGACTGATAACACGTTCCCTGCCTTTCCCTCCTCCTTCCACAGAGAGTCACAGGTTCTGTGACCGCGTGCAGGATGCGTACACCTTGCGCTGCTGTCCACAGGTAAACCAGCAAACCAAAGTGCTCTCTCTCTCAGTGCAGGTGGGAAGCAGAAAAAGAGGGAGGTGTTAGAAAATCATAAATTGGTCAATCAGAATCCAAATTTCTTTACAGCTTCTCTTAAAAACTTTGTAGATCATACTTCTATTTGTCCCATTATTGTCATTTCTATTCCATGTGATAAACTTTTGAATAGCTTTGCTCAACCTTGAAGGGAAGTCCAACAGGCGTCTTGCTGTGTTAGTTTAGTGCCCTCCTTTTCCAATTTCTCAGTGACAACATTATCTTAACCAGTTAGTGGAGTTTTGCTTGCTCTCCCTGTGATAGAACTAGGACCAGCCGGCCAGAGATGTTCACAGAAAAGCCCAATAAAAATTCAAGGGCCCATCCATAATATACCTTGGCTGCATTTAATAGGCAGACCTAAACTATGGCAAATAAATCTGTGAGGCTCAATTTTCAATAAAAAGTGCAGATGCCTTGGGTTAGCCTAAGGCATCCTGTATCAATTTTACAACTCATTTGCATATGGCAATTAGTTAAGTGAGAGATTAATGTAAGAATGCATCTCAAGAATGAAATAATACAGGGTGGGGCAAAAGTAGGTTTATGGTTGTTCAATAACACCAGAATAAATGCAGTATTTCTCATAGTCACAACTCTACACTTTTGCCCTACCCTGTATTTCAGCTGGTATCAAATTCCAGTCTACAGTATATAAAGAGTCCTCCCTAGAGGACTCAAGTCCTTGTATTAAGCAAGTTCTATTCTAGCTGGTAGACCAAAAATGTCTATGGGGAAGAATTGCCAAATTAGGTCTGCTAAAGGAATACATCCCACTTCCAAACATCCTGCTAGTCTAACAGGAATATCAGACTCTACGTGACAGGCCGTCTTCCATATAGTAACTCATTTACTCTTCTATTTTAGGTCCATGGTGTGGCGAATGACACAATAGCGTTTGTGAAGAAATTGATTACCACAGAACTAAACAGCGCGACAGATAATCCTGTATCTTTTGACGTTTACTGAACTATAGTCAGAGAATTTCCGCTGGTAACTTTAAGATCTGAAGTGATCACTGTGCAGCAGCTCTGTCCTGCCTCCTCTCACTTTATTTCATAAACTGAGTACCTGAGGCTCGGAAGTTAATGAACTTTGTCCAGATTAAAGCTGGGAAGTGACAGAGGTAGTTCTCCGAATCTAATCTCAGGCTCAGTGTGGAACATGCCAAAGTTTCAAAATTGACTCATTAAAGATGAAATGGGGATGGGTTCCCAGCATTGGCTGAGAAGTTTTATGAAGACACTAGAGGCCCAGTGCACAAAATTTATGCGTGGGTAGGTTCCCTAGCCTGTCCAGCCATCATGCTGATCTGGGCCTTCTGTCTGTCAGCTGGGGGTCTCCTTCCCTGGCTGCCAGCTGGGGCCTTCCTTCGTTTTATGCCACCCCCTGGTGGTCAGTGCACATCATAGGGAATAATCAAACTCCCAGTCTCCCGGTCTAACTCCTGAGGGGACACTTTGCATATTAGCCTTTTATATATATATATATATATATATATATATAGATAGATAGATAGATAGATAGATAGATAGATAGATAGATTTTCCCTAAAACCCACTGCTGGGATTGTTGGTAGAAGGATGAAGACTTACGTGCCAGGTGTGATTGTGGAGACCAGGGTATGTACACCTTCCTGATTCCAATAATGCCATGATGCTTTTAGACAGAAGCAACCTTTAACATTTACCAAAGTGTTGCTCAAAGAGGCATGGTTTTCCATATCCTGAGGTTTTATTTCGGACATGGACTTGACTCAAATTGGTGTTTTCTGCGTCTGTACAAAGAATAAGAATACTTCCATTTCTCGAGGATGGGCCCCAACGGTGGCTATCTCAGAGCCATCTTGTTTCTGCCATGGAATGCGATCACTCGGGTCACACTGGCAAAGTCTCCACAGCAACAATACTGCCTGTGAAGACCACCAAACCTTGCAGAAATCTGTTTTTCCTATCTCACATCTGCCTTAAGTCTCAGCCCTGCAGAGAGTGCTGGGTCAGCATCCTTGAAAGCAGCTCACAGCCTGGGCTAGTAGACGGGTCCACAGTAGCTGTGTGAGGTTTCTCTGGAGAGCTTACTTCAGGATGTGGGTTTTGCATCCTTTCGGATTGTTTCACAGTTAAACCCTCACAAAATAATCCTCAACTCACTAACCCACCTGTACATCATCCCATCTCCCAAAGGGAGTAATTTTCCTGAACTCCAGGTAGTCTTATCTCATCTATCTGTCTTGTAAAGCAGAAGTACCCATTAGACACTTACATAATGTAGGTTGAAAGGGTAACTTAGACAATAAAAAAACAGAAACCATTAAATTTTTGGAAATGAGACATGAAATAATTCTGTACTAAATTCTCCCTCCACCATTTGCCTCAACAAAAATTTCAGTCAAAAGTCTTCTACTTAAAGCGTTTCAATCCCTGATGAATTTCCAATTGCCTAATCTTTGGGAGTTCTCCTGCAATACCTGAAAGAATGTTTCCTAAGGTTTCCATTGCAAATGAAGAGCACCTATTACCTAGTTGCTAGATAGGATGGGAGTTAACTTCTAATAGCTATTATCAAATAGCCAACCCACAAATTTGGAGCTAAAGAACAATAGCACATGCATACGTTCTAAATGGTATGCGTTCTAAGTTATCTCTATAGAGATCACTCGCTATAAGGATTCATAGAATGGAGAGAAGGCCACGGCCTGTGGTTGGGATGGGTTCATGGAGAAGAACAGGAGTGGTCTAATATGCTCATGGTAATAATACACAGAAAAGGGCAACTCCAGACTTGAGGAAGATCATGTAACACGTGCATCTCCAGCTTTTTGGAAGTCAGAACCCTTCTCACACAGAGTGAATCCCAAGTTGATATGATAGGCAGTGAATATTCTTTAGCCCAGTAGGCAAAAGTTAGCTCTTTGGAACCTGGAAGAAGGGTCTGTCACTGCCTTTGTCTGTTGGTTTAAGTCAAGTGCATGATAGAATGCAATGATCCCTGAGAATATGAATATTTGGTGGGTCCAAAGCTGCCTCAGACCTAAATGAGTTTACAATAACTTCTTGGCTGCCCTTTGCTGAGAATGCTGATACATATCACTGAGTTAGAGAGTTTGCTTGGAAGTTTTCCCCAAAATTGATTGTTCCAAACAATTTGGTGGTTGAGCGTCAGCAATGTCTTTCATTCAGCAGGTTCTTCTATGGAGCACAAGCTCACAGAGCCCATTGAAGAAATAGAATTTGCTTTCACACATGTGTCTCGTCTCTGCTCTTAGTTTCGGGTTATAAACTTTTCAAGAGCAACTACTACCCACCAGATTAGCACAGTTATTATGATGCCTGAGAATCTCTAATCTCAAGAGAAAACAGCGTTTTATGCCTTCTGTTTCTTTGGCCCTGACTTCGGTATACCCAATTCTTCTTCAAGATTATGTGTCTGTCCCTTTATGTCAACATCTGCTTGAGGGATCTCTCTCTCCACCCCACATTTTAGAAGGGCTGCCATCTCAATGTGTTCAAACCTTAATCTAGGTTGAAAGATGGTCTTTGCCAGCCGGGGAGAGACCATTTCCGGAGGAAACTTCCATGGTGAATACCCAGCCAAAGTAAGCTTTTTTTTTTTTTAGAATTGCTGCTGCCCCTGAAAGCATATTACAATATAGGCTAACTGAACTGACACTATTTCAGGCCCTGGACTTTTTGGCCATTGGTATCCACGAACTTGCTGCGATTAGCGAAAGAAGAATTGAAAGACTCTGTAACCCCTCCCTCAGCGAGCTGCCTGCCTTCCTGGTGAGTGAAGGCGGCCTGAACTCCGGATTCATGATAGCCCACTGCACAGCCGCAGCCCTAGGTAAGGACACTGCCCTTTGCCCAAGCCTGTCCATTGAAGGGCCCCTCCATTTTACCCAAAAATATCAAACTTTATCTTCAAATGAAATCTAACTTTCTCAACACCTCCATCTGCATCCTACCTCTCTTCATACAAACGCAGTAGGTTGCCTCTTTAATATTTTTTTTTGGAAAAAAAAATATAATACAAAACCTAAACAATATTATACTGACACAATAATACACGAGTGAGACTGTAAACAATGATGTTTGACTATCACATGAACTTCATTTTTGTAACTTTTCCCCCCAATCTCAATTTGAAGACTATCAGAAAGAAAAAGACAAAGACATTCATAGTTAATGGTGAAATGTGAACTGATCTAAATAATTAAACTTTGGATACATTTCATTAGGTATACCAACCACTACACATGTGATTACAACATGCAACAAGGAAGTGCTAAGGGCTTCACTTGTACTCACTCTCTTAATCGTCACAACAATATCATGGGGCAGGTACTATTATCACCTCCATTTTACAGATGAATACCTGAAAATCTGAGAAGTTAAGTGCCTTACCCACACTTGCATAGCTCGTAAGAAGCAGAGAATTCAAACTCAGGCATTTTGGCTCTCAGATCTGTGCTCTCATTTGAATTAATGAGGTTCCCATTATAATCAATATTTAATCCTAAAATGTGGCTGCCAAATTTAACAAATAGGAATACAAGATAATAAGTTAAGTTTGAATTATTTGGGACATACTTACATTTTTTTTATTTGATATTTGATTGAATTGAGCATCCTGTATTTCTATCTGGCAAACCTGCCCAAGAGACAGGATAGCATGGTGGTTCATTAAGAGCATGGAGTCTGGGTTTGAATCTTAGCTCTACCATTTACAGTGTGACATGGAACAATTCTCAGTCTTGTTGACCTCAGTTTACTCCTGTGTAAAATGGGCATGATGAATTTACCTAGTGGGGCTGTTTTGAAGGTTACATAAATTAATGTAGGTAAAACCTTAGAATTCTCTATGCCTGGTGCTAAATAAATATAGCTGCTATTCTTCCTAATCCCTTCCTCACCTAAGCCTCACACTAAAACTCAACACAAAAAAACAACAAAGGGCCATTGAATTCATCTTCTCCTCCGTCTGACATCTTCTACTTGTTCACTTACCTGGTTATTAAAATATCCTTTCAAAGGGCAACGGTTTCTCATATTGACATGGTGCAGGGAGAGGTAGTTGATTTCTAGAGAATATCATGGACTTTTGGAATCCCCTTATGAATGTTCAGCTTTCCAAGCTGCCTAATGAAGTTGCTTAGCTTGTTTTCATTATGATGAACCTTTTTCTTTTTATGGCCCCTTGTACGTTATGTTTCTGAACAAGCCTCACCACAGCCTGCTGAATCATGTTTAGGGGTCTTGGGTTGCAGTGCTGGGCCTTGAAAGTCCTGGGCAAACCCGTTTATAGCTAGATTACCTTAGGTAGGGTCCTTATAGCATGCAGAACAGTGACACTTCACTCAGAGCCACTCAGCATCAAAGAAATGTTATATTGCGAATCAACGAGCTTAACAGAAGACGCCTTAGTGAGCCAGTTAATTTGGAGTCTTTTATTACTCTAGCCCAGTGGTCTGCAAACTGCGGCTCTTTGGCCCCTTGAGTTTTTAGCAAAGGCCAGCTTAGGAGTACCCTGTTTAAGTTAATAACAATGTACCTACCTATGTAGTTTAAGTTTAAAAAATGTGGCTCTCAAAAGAAATTTTAATTGTTGTACTGTTGATATTTGGCTCTGTTGGCTAAGGAGTTTGCCCACCACTGCGCTACTTTTTACTGGGCTCAGAGGAATATTGCTTCTCAAATTCTGAGCAAAAACATGGAAGAAGCTTTCCCCTTTTATATTCTTTCAGTCTTTTGGGATATATAATATGGGATTATACTTCCAGACTTTTGCTTGTAACATGAGTTTGTAGCTTGAGCATAGTACATTTCAAATAACTGGAGCATGGGAATAGCCAGGGACTTCAGTGGAGCAGTTGGCAAGGTGAGACAGTCGAGCTTATTTTACCTATTATTAGACCAAGCATGTTTTGCAGAAGCCAATAATAGCAGAATTAATTCATAGAACAAAGGACTGCCTGTGTCTAGTAGAAATTTTAAACAGCAGTTTTTACAAAATAGAGGTTACTATGTTTCAGAAAGCAGGGGCGGGGGGGGGGGGGAAGAGGGATGAGGGATGATTCTGAATTTGACCTCTCTTGCTGGAGAGAAGGAATTCTGTAATCTAGGTCCTTGCTACTTAAAGTATCATCCTCAGATCAAAAGCAGAGCCATCACCTGGGAGTTTGTGAGAACAATAGCATGCCAAGCCCCACCTAAAATGCAACATTTGCATTTTAATGAGATCCAGTGATTCAGATGCACCACAATCAATCTAGGTCATCTCTGGGATCCCCTCACCTCCCTAAGATATCTCTGGCAGACATCTAGCCTCCTCTGGTCAAACTCCTCAGGGACCTGGAAGTGCTCACACATCTCCCTGGCTTGCTAAATGCTTTTGATGTTTTCACCTTGGCTTTGAAATATTAGGGTTCCCATCCAGTGTTAGAACTCCTAATAGCTTTAGAGGTGTTCTCACGTTAGGGAAAGCACAACATGTTTCCTTCCCCAAAGTAACTTTGGACCCTGTGGTGCTTGCATAACCACCAAGAGCTCCTGGAGTGGATGCCATGGAGCACTTTGGGAAAACATGTGTCATTGGGGCAGTTTTTCCCGTTCAAACATAATTAACTAGTGCTGACCTCTTGCAGTTTCTGAGAGCAAGGCTCTGTGCCACCCCTCGTCTGTGGACTCCCTCTCCACCAGCGCTGCCACGGAGGACCACGTCTCCATGGGAGGATGGGCAGCGAGGAAGGCCCTCAGGGTCATCGAGCACGTGGAACAAGGTAACCCCACCCAGGCCGGGATCCCGGGCCTCCTTGATAAATGAGTGACTCACCAGTGGTCCTCAAAGTGGGGTCCCCTCCAGCAGCATCAGCATGACCTGGATCTGGTTAGAATGGCAGATCTTCAAAGCCTCTCCCAGCCCTGCAGAAGGAGAAACTCTAGGCAGCAGGGCAGAGGAATCCGAAGGTAACCAGCCCTCCAGGTGATGCTCATCCTCTCTGGAGATTAAGAACCACTCTTGCTGCCTAAGCTGGTTCATCTCCTGGCTTTTCTTAAAAAAAAAAAAAAAAAAAAAAAAAAAAAAAAAAAAAAGAAAGAAAAGAAAAAAGAACAACAAGGTTTTCAGAACATATTCAAAGTGTAGAGATTAGACCATGAACCTCATACACACCTCACTGATTCAACAGCACATTTGCTTTATTTTTTCTTTTCTCAAATTATTTTCAAACAAACCCATTATAATTTCCTTCCTGCATACTTTAACTCTTAACTATCCGTGCTTGCTTATCCACCAGAATGCCATCATCACAGCCCATCTTGGTATCACCATTGAGTGCACATTCAAATTCTCCCAATTACAATATCTCAGTGTCTGTACAGTGGGTTTGTTCAAATCAGGACACAAGGAAGGGCCACATTTTAGATTTGGCGGTCAAGGTTTTAAGCTTCTTTTCATCCAGAACTGTCCCATCTCTCCGCCCCCCCACCTCCTTCCCCCACTTCATTCCACTGACCAGCTTAAAAAAACAAACAAACAGGTCAGCTTTCTGATAGAGACCGGGATTCTGCACTCACCTGTTAGCCTCCTTGTGGTGTTACTTGTAACTTGCTCTCTGTCCCATGTGTTTCCTGTACGTGGCAGTTGACCCTAAAGGCTTGACAAGCCTGAGATCCCACCTTTTTGGCAAAGATACTTCACAGGATGTTAGGCCCTTTACTCCCTGACCTCTTAATTACTGCTTGTTTTTGTTTTTTTAAAGAGAAATTGCCTTATTTTAGGACATGTTCTAAGTTTCTCCTTTTGCAACTGTATTCAAAGCAGTTGGCTGATAAAAGAATATCACTATTTTAAGATAAATGTGAGAGTTAATTATTCTTTTTTATTTTGAAACAGATGTATTGAGGTATAATTTACAAATGCTTCCAATTATCTCAGTGTCTGTTGAGTGGATTGTTCAAATCAGGCCTCAATCACATCCCCAGATGGATCTAGAATACCTAGAAGTGTGTTTGGCACAGACATGGTGCTCAGATGTCTATATGACAATAAATTTGGCCATAGAGGTCCAAATTACAGATCTAGCTCGCCTGATGCAGTTCTATACATTTATATCGGGTACAGTTCACAAAAAGAATTGGCAATTTGTATTTTTAAGCATGTTCACTGTCAGTTAAGTTTGCTTTGGTTCGGATATTAAATACCTACAAATCTTGGAACCCAGTGGTGCTGGACATAAACTCGCAAGATAAGGATCTGGTTTATTGCAGCGCTTATTGATTCCTCATTGCATAAGGGGCACAGAAAGAGGAGGATTCTTCCTGGATTAAACCGTGAATGAGATATTCTTCCTCTCTGCCCACTTGGAAATTAGGGTCTAACCAGAGAGGCGGACATTGGACAGCAACTTGGTAACTCTGTGCAGCACTTTAACAAGATTCCCACCAAATACTAGAGTCTGAAGGCATCTCCAAAGGAGTATTTAAGATGAGGACCTGAACAACAACTAGGGCTGGCAGTGTGGAAGGAGAAGAGCGATGGTAGTTTTGTAAGAAAGGGGCGTGCACAAAATAAATCAATCTGAGATGCATGGAGATGAGAGTGCAAGACATCCAAGTCCCAATTTCTAGAATTTCAGTTGTAGTGGACTTGGGAGCTTTTGAGTTTGAAAGCTCAAAAGGGACATATAGGGTGGGGCCAAAGTAGGTTTATAGTTGGGAGTACACGAAATACTAAGTTTATTCTTGTATTATTATTGATTAACTAGAGGCACGGTGTACAAAATTTTTGCGTGGGGGGAGAGTCCCTCAGCCCAGCCTATACCCTCTTGTAATCCAGGACTGCTGGCTCCTAACTGCTTGCCTGCCTGATTGCCCCTACCCACCTCTGCCTGCCAGCCTGATGACCTCTTACTGTTCCCCTGTTGGCCTGATCACCCCCAACTGCTCCCCTACCGGCCAGATCTCCCCTTAACTGCTGTCCCCTAACTGTGGCTTTGTCCAGAAAGATGCCCAGAAGATGTCCAGTCTAATTAGCATATTGTCTTATTAGTCTAGATTAGGGGTGTCAAACTCAATCAGAGAAGGGGCCAAAATCTAAAATCCAGCCTAAATAGCGGGCCGAATGGTTTACTGAACAGTCATAAACTGTCATTGTGATGGAAACGCAGCGGAGTACAGTGATGTGCGGGCCACATTGCAAGGCCTGGCGGGACGGATTTGGCCCGCGGGCCTTGTGTTTGACACATGTGGTCTAGATAATTGTATTAGTTTCCATACAAACAACTGTGGACTCAGTCCCAAGGCAACCAAAGACTCATATGCTCCTTCACCAGAGCCTTCAATCCTTGGATGAAGTTCTATGTGCCAGGTATTTCAGGCCAAAGGGATCATCAAGACTAACAACAAAAGGAAACTTGCACAAAGATGGAAATAGCACACAGATTTTTCCCATCGCGATTAGAAGAAGGTGAGAAGGGGGAAACTGAGAATTTACCTGGACTCGTTCCCCCTTCTCACCATTAAAGATGGGCATCCACTTCTGTCATTGATAGCCCTCAACCAGGAAGTCACTCCTTCCCCTTCTCATTTCAGTGCTGGCCATCGAGCTGCTGGCAGCCTGCCAGGGCATCGAGTTCCTCCGCCCCCTGAGGACAACCACTCCCCTGGAGAAGGTCTATGACCTGGTGCGCTCGGTTGTCAGGTAAAGTCTATCATCATGGCAGTGACATGGTCTCAGAACCATGAGCCTGGCTGTTTGGCTGATGACTGGGTTTGCTTCCTCTGCAGGCCCTGGATAAAAGATCGCTTCATGGCTCCGGACATCGAGGCAGCGCACAGACTGCTTGTCGACCAAAAGGCAAGCTGACAATTGGGCTTCTTTCTTGGTTTGGGGTCATTTCGGGAAAGTGAAGTGGAGTGGGTCCTGGAGAAACATTGTCTTATTCATTCGTTGTCTGGCTATTCCCTGGGGAGGAACAAAAGGGCACTTATGCAATTTGCAAGGCCACCAAGAAGGTATTTGGTAAACTCTTAGGTGTCCCATGTGGCACCCAAACACTGAGGGTCAAAGGATTGGAAGCAGAAATAAATTTTAAGCAGGATCTTTGGAACAAGCATTCGTGGGGAGAAATGAGATGAAAGGTTCATGGATCCCCTTCACCAAGAATGTACTCTTCCATTCAAAAGTACTTTCTTTTTTTTTTAATATATTTTTTTTTATTTCAGAGAGGAAGTGGGGAGAGAAAGGAGGAGAGAGAAACATCAATGATGAGAAAGAATCATTAATCAGCTGCCTCCAGCACGCCCCCCACTGGGGACCAAGCCCGAAACCCGGGCACGTGCCCTTGACCAGAATCGAACCTGGGACCCTTCAGTGCCCAGGCCAATGCTCTATCCACTGAGCCACACCAGATAGGGCACTTTCTCTTTTTATGGTGACCTCACCACCACCACCTGGTCTAGTGCCTGCACAGATCTGGAGAGAAGACAAAGCCCCAGGTTTCTGCTTCAAAGGGCTGTGAGTCTGTCTGGTGCTCTCGTGTGTCCCACCCATCACCCTGGTGACATGCAGTTCCTCTGGCTGCATTGACTACAGACTCCTCTGATAAAGACAGTTGCCTAACATGCTGACTCCTTTTTTTAAAATTTATTTTTTAAAGTTCTTTAAACCTTTTGTAGTAATTTGTGGGTATCCTGTTTCCTAGAATTGCTTGATTCCTCCTGAAATCCTTGCTCTGCTCTCAGGGAAGGATTTTCCTCTTTGGTCTTCATACATTTTCTGAGGTGATACAAAAGAAGGGGGTGGAGGGAGGGAAAGGCCCCTTGGCTGTCAGCAGCAATCAGATAAAAAAACAATAGCTATAAACCAAGTACAGGGCCTTCATTTGAGAAGGTGTTGTGCTTGAAAGAGAACAGATTGCTAAGCCTGAGGCAGGGCTTCTCAAACTGCAGTGTGCCAGTGGCTCTCCTGGAAATTTGATGAAAATGCAGATTTGGACACAGTGGATTTCGTGTGAGGCTGACATTCCGACTTGTCCCCAGTGATGCTGATGCTGCTGGTCCAGGGGCCACTTTGAGGGTCTCAGAGGCGGAGCACACGAGGCAGGGAAACACAGCAGATGAGGAAATCCACTGCCTTTTATCATTCGAGGTTTGCTTGAGAAAACGCACAGTCAGACCCTGAGCAACTTTCCTCAGTTCTGTCCACACCGAAGTCTCTAGGTTTTGTTTGTCTTTTGGCTTGTTTGGCTTTAGAAGAGCAAGCAGCCGGAAGCCTTCATGGCAACTTCAGAGGAGTTTTGGACCTTGGACTTTAAAAGCTTTGGATGCATCCAGAGACCAGTCGACACCGATTGTGTGTTAAATGCCTTAAAATAAAAAGCAAGCAAACAGCTGCTACACGTTGGGTATAGATAATGTTTTGTCTTCAGGTGAAGTTGATGTTTAATGGCTCATGAAAGCAATGTTGTCAACGTCACGGTTTCGTTCTTGTGTCTCAGGTGTGGGAAGTAGCTTCGCCATACATCGAAAAATACAGAATGGAGCATATCCCTGAATCAAGACCTCTTTCTCCGACGGCCTTTTCCCTGGAGTCTCTGCGCAGGAAATCCAGCACTGTCCCAGAGTCCACGGAGCTGTAAAGGGCTTTGGAGGGCGGGGGTGAGGTGGGGGGGGGGGGGGTTGGGGGGGGGTGTAGATCAGATGGTGCTCAGTTTGACAGCGAGCAGCACTGTGCTGACAGAGAGGCCTGAGAACTCTGTTTAGGTAGATCAATTCCTTATATAATTCAGTTCTTCTAAAACCTACTGTGGCTAGACTGGTGGCAGCAATACAGTTGCTAACTCTAGCACTGCATTCTTGTCGGTCTCGTCTGAGGTGCAGCCGGATGATAGGAGCTTTTTTTCTTTAATGCTATCTCACTCTTAAGCGTGAGAAGAGAACCCACATTGCATGGGTCTTTTAATATTAGAGCAGCTCACATCTTGACACAGACTGATGGCATGTTTCCAAAAGCATTAGACTTTGGTAAATCTTTTTTGTTTGTTTGTGCTTGTTTGTTTGCTTTGACAAGTTCTCTACTACAATAGTTAACTCTGGCTGATTGTACTATGTTATGACTAGTGTTTCTTCATACCTCTTCATAAACAACCCTTTTAAAAAAATCATAATTTGTCTTTAAGTTGCTCTTTCTTCTACTACTGGGATCATAGTAAAGAATAGTCGATAGGCCAACAAGAGGTCTGTGTAAAGGAATTAAGGAATGAATATAAAGATGGCTATTGGAGTGTCTCTTACTGAACTGCATATTTCATATTTATCAATAATCACTCCACATATCAAAAAAAAAAAAAAAACTCGATGCTTAAACTAGGGTTGGAGGATAGTATGGTCACTTTTTTACTATATGTTAGCACTTAAGTCACATTCTTTATTTTTTATTTTATTTTTATTGAGTTTATTGGGATGACATTTATATAGGTTTCAGGTGTACAATTCGATAACACATCATCTGCATATTGCATTGTGTGTTCACCACCCCAAACCAAGTCTCCTTCTCGATTCACGTTTTTATATAATACTAACCCTGTGTTAAGCCTCCTCGTTTCACAGACAAGGAATCTGTTGTTCAAAAGTTAACCAATCCCTCGCTGTAATGGTAACCATTCATGTAAGGCCCCATTGACAAAAATCAGATGGGACCCTAGGATGTATTTCCCAAAATGTTTCTTCCCAAAAAAGGATGTTCAAAAAGGGCGTTCTGGGAAGGCAAAAGTGTAATTTCCCAGATAAAGGATGGGTTGGATGTCCTCTTGGCTTCTAAGATCTGTGACTTTGCACCCCTCCATGCAAATGGGTGCAAAGAACTCCTAGTTCAGGAATCTGAAAAATGCAGCTGGTTAAGCAAGGACAGACACACTTGCCAGATTGCCAACCTATTATAGACTAAAATGGGACCAACAACATATTTCACAATAGTTTTCACTCTAGATTGTAGCCTGTCCAGAGGAAAGGTGGAGACAGAAGTCAGAACTACTGCCTACAGCAATTCAGACAACAGAAAAGGCTGAGGAACCTGTTCTTGATGCTGTTCTTTGCTAAAATGTCAACACACACACACACACACACACACACACACACCATAATCCATTGATTCTTATCCAGGAGCAGTAACTGAGCCAGCTGTCTGATGGCTGTTTTTCACACCTGTTTGGGGAATGTTGGATCCCACAGGCTCCCAGGGTCCTTAGAGGCCCTTTTTCTTTGAGTTTTTTAAAAAACATTTTGAATTGATTTTTTTTTTTTTTTAGAGGGAGAAAGAATCATCCATGTGAGAGGGAACATCTATGGGCTGCCTCCTGCAAGCCCCCTACTAGAGATCAGGCCCATAACCCAGGTTTGTGCCCAGGATTCAAACTGGCAGGCTTTCTGTGTACAAGATAATTCCCAACCAACTGAGCACACCGGCCAGAGCTGTCACTGAACTCTTTACACAGCTCTTCTGACGTCACATATCTTCAAGAGAATGGCAAGGTAAATATGGAATAAACTCCTTGTCTTGTGTTATCACTGCATTCTTAGATTTTTTAAATAGTTTACCACTTCTTTGGGGAAAGGCTGGTCTAACTGCGGTTAATCAAGTTTCTGGCTGACACCGGTTTGGCTCAATGGCTAGAGCGTCAGCCTGCAGACTGAAAGGTCCCAGGTTCAATTCCAGTCAAGGGCATGTACCTTGGTTGCGGGCACATCCCCAGTCGGGGGTATGCAAGAGGGAGCTGATAGATTATTCTCTCTCATCGATGTTTCTAACTCTCTATCCCTCTCTCTTCCTCTCTGTAAAAATCAATAAAATGTATTTTTTTTTAAGTTTCTGAAAGGTGTAGTTGATGAGTGTTTGCCCATGCAAAAGTATCTTTAGAAAATGTGATTGACTGAGTCTTCCTCTTTCCCATTGAGTTGCAGCAAAATAGAGGCAGTGTGATGTCCTCCTGGCAGGCTCACCTGGCTTCCTCACCTGCTGACAGAGGGGAAACCTCAAAGTGCAAGGACTTTTCCAGATTCTGCTGTTTCTGTTGGTCAGAGCAAGTCAAGGTCAAGTTGGGAGAGAAGTACTCAAGGTCATGGGCATATGATTTGGGGTCATTACTCTATGTATCTACCACATACATAAAATTCCATACATGACCTGAAATTTTTTTGGGGGTGGGGGAGGACAAAAAGATAATTTTCATACTATTTTAAACTTCTACCTCATTTCTGGATCTGATTATTGGATTATTATACTTTTATTAAGCCTTCTAATTACCTCATAAATCACATGATCACTGCATTTGGGGGGTTACTTCTGTTGAAGGTACTTATTAAATTTAAACATTGACCACACACACACACACACACACACACACACCAACCTGCCTGACAAGTGTTGCTCAGTGGTTGAGCATCGACCTATGAACCAGGAGGTCACAGTTTGATTTTGATAAGGAAGAATCATTAATCAGCTGCCTCCTGCATGCCACAGTTTGATTTTGATTCCTGGTAAGAGCACATGCCCAGTTGTGGGCTCGATCCCCAATGTGGGGCGTGCAGGAGGCAGCCAATCAATGATTCTCTCTTATCATTGATGTTTCTCTCTCTCCCTGAAACCAATAAAAAAAAAAAAAGTATTTTTTAAAAAAACAATACACAAATCAACAACAACAAAAAGAGTTGGAGGAAATTCATTTCAGCTTAGGACATAGGCCTGGTTTGTCTCAAGGTATTCCCAATCTCTTTGCTTAGTGATTAGTTCAAGAAAGGGCTGAGGTTGCAATTTGGGCCAATGAGATAGAGAAGAGTTTTGCTGGAGGCTTTGAGAATTTGTTTTCTTCCCTGAGAACCATCACAGTCACCTTTTCTCACCCTCCTGCTGGCTCTGAATGAGGAGGCATAGAGCACCCAGGCTGTGGGTAGCCATCCTGACTCAAGGGAGAAGATAGCCATAGGGTGACACCAACACCAGATGGCAGAACAGACGGAAGGAAGGCATCTGGGTCTTCAGCGTTTTTGAGCTTCCAGATAAACCAGTCCTCAGCCTGTTCTTCCTGTGAAATTTCCAATGAACTTTCTCATTCCTTAGACCAGTTTTGGTCAGATTTTGGTACTTGTAGCAGTTAGCATTCCACCTCCCATGGGCACTGTTTGGGAGGTACTGTACCAGAGCCCTGGTGCGTCAATACAGCATGTGGCCCAATGTGGAGCACAGAGTAGAGTGTTCACATCTCACTTTCTACCTGGACATCTAGCCCGGAAGGTCTCCCTCTCTCTCTGCTAAGAGGTTTGTTCAAAGTATCTTGCCAGAGTCCACTTGCACAACAAATATTTGCTTGCCTGCTATGTACTCTGAAGCCAGATTGCTCTTTCTACAACACTCTCGGCCTGGTCCTAACCTACTCAAAAATGTCCAGTGGCTTCCCCTGACTTTACGATAAAGTTCTGGCAAGTGAGCCCGACACCCGAAGCCCTGTGAAAGCTGATCTCACCTAATAGTCTCAGCTAACCCCCTGAGGTCTCTACTGTAGGAGGACTTACCACCTGTCTTCTGAGCATTTCATGATGTTCCATCTTGGACAGTTCCCTCTCATCACAATCCTCCCAACCTCCAAAGCTTAGGGTGGCAGTCCCACCCCCATCCAATCTTGAAACTGTCTCTTTGCTTGGTTTTACTTTAACACTTGGCTTCCCCACAAGCATCATCCTTTGACATCATATTCAAGGAACGCATATGTTCTTTCCTATCGATAGAATAACTGCCCCCCCTGGGTTGGCCTGCGTAGTGTATTTTGACAAGTAATTTTTACTATGACGATCTGTATGCTTGCGTAGCCATTCCTTAGTTCATTTATTGAGCACCTGCTATGAACCAGTCCCCCATACTATTGATAGATCCTGGGGACACAAGGAGATCCCTGCCCTCTACTAATTCACAATTTAAAGAGAACGACAGTTATTACAATAATATAAAGATTGTATTTGAGGGAAGGGAGCATGGTGGGGTGGGGGGTGACTAGTCCTGATTTCCCACCTAGAGAAGAGAGGAACAGCATTCCAGGCAGAGGGAACAGTGCTGCAAGGCAGATGGTGTTTGTGAGGAACATGGTGGTAGTTTGTTTGGCTGGGGTCTTAGGCTGCAGCACTTCTCAGACTTCAATGGGCACACTAATCACCAGGGGCCTTCTGCAGGCCTGGGGTGGGGCTGATGTCCAGCATTTGTAGAGAGTTCCCTTGAGTTGCAAAGCCTGGGAGGACTAAGGCAGTTCCTGGTGGGTACCCTCTTCCGCTTTCCTTCAAAAAAGACATGAATGCTATTTGTTTCGAGTGAGTGTCTCCTAGAGGGAAATAGAATGTGTGTCTTGGGTTCCAGGGCAGACCTAATATTTAATATTGGCCTTTACATCGCTCTCATACATCCCAAATTCCCACCATTGACTAGGTGGTCCCACATCCCCTCAAGACCCATCTCCAAGCATAGGAGGGATAGTGCAGAGATTCCGGGCTACTAGGTGGTGACAGTGATGTATCCTGTGACCCTTAACATTCCCACAAGGGGTAGTTTGATTTGATTTATACTGAATACAGTAAAATCCTCACTCATTCAGCCTCTATTAACCTGAAATGGGTGGCAATTTGGATAGTCATTGTTTATTTCTCAAATCATTTCTTTATAAATAGGATGGAGTTTTATAACACAATTATGATCATAAAGATGATTAAAACATTTTTAAAATATTTCAACTAAATTTACATGAGGCAACTACAGGGTGTCCCAAAACAATGCATACATACTTTAACAGTTCAATTTTGAAAATAAACTGTATTTTAATAAACACTGCTTTTATAATTATTCAAAGTGTTTGTGTACATTTTGGGGGGACACCCTACATTTATATATGTAAATAATCATCTACTCTTTATAAGTAATGCTGTAATTTGTTCATTTCCTGAAAAGCTCTATCAGACAAGGCGCTGATCTACATCTGGGACTGACTATAAGGAAACAACAACAATAATCACGACAACACATATTTATTAAAGTTATGACATGGTTTCTATACAATTATAATGTGAAGAATAAAAAACTTAAAAGCAATTTCAAAAAAATTACATTATTGGATTTTTGTTTTTTAAAAAAAGCATCCATTACAAGAAGGCCCCAGAACCTGTATGTAAAATGATGAACCTTGAACTGTGCTGTGAAGTCTATTTTGAGCTAAGGTTGAAGGGAAACTAGAAATGGAAGGACAGGCTCCCTCAGGGGACTCTGATGCATTTCATTTGATGAACATCTGGAAAGAACTAACTGGTGGGGAAAGGAAAAACTATTTGCTATTCTAGAAGGCTGCATTTTAGCTTAATCTGGAGCATCTCACTTGGATTTCCTTCCATCCCCCAATTTTCACTAACTATTGTTGAAAACCTGAAATTTGAAAACCAGAAACAAAATGGGAATTTCAAGCCACATCTACCTGATTGTCAATCTGCCTTTACCCACAAATGCATTCTTGTGATCATTCAACATATTGATCTTCAGAATATTTATGACAAATATTTGTGAAATAATGTAATGTTTTGAGATTATAATCACAATTGGTTTACCTGTCTCTAAATCCAGGTGCATATTAAATTAAAATAAGTTAATCCCTTGGGTTTTATGAGTGGATTAATAAAACAATGAAATACATTTAGGTTTAGGTGACATCATCTTGTGAACTACTAAGATATTTTAACTTCTAACATACTGTATTGATGCATTTTATACAATTAAAGCCTTCTCTTTCCTTTAAGATCTGTCATTTTTTATAGATGACTTTTCCTTTAGTTATAACATACTCGATTAATTCATTATGGCCTCCAAACTGATAAATCAAATGCTCCCACCTAGAAAGAAATCAAACATTACTTCAATACATACAAGTCAAAATTATCACTATCCTTAAATGCTAATTTAAAAATACATTCTCTAAAAATTTCTTTCTACCTATCGTTGATATTTGGACTTTAAAAAAATGGCATGTTACTAACTAGCCTATGATAAATCAAATAATGTTTAATAATACCACTTAAGTATTTGAACTTAAAATATTTGATTCAATTAAATAATGCACAAATGGTAACAACATCAACATTGTTCTCAGTAGAGAGAGTGGCCATGGCTGGTGTGGCTCAACTGGTTGGAGTGTTGTCCTGTACACCAAAAGGTGGCTGGTTCAATTCCCAGTCAGGACACATACCCAGTTTGCAAGTTATGTACAGGAGGTGGCCAATCAATGCTTCTCTCTCTTTCTCTCATTCTCTTTTTAAAAAATAATAATAATAGTGAATTTCTTAAGAAAAGAAAATAAGAGTGGTGTATGACCACGGAGAGTAGAATTACAGAGCCACTCTCTTCTGTTGAAGGTGAGGTCCAAGAGCTGGGATAGGCTCACTAGAGTGAGGGACTGAAGATTTAGAACAAGAAGACTCACACTGTCACATGGGAGACCCAGATGGGAGCAGACCGTGGGTGAGTAGTAAGAAACCAGGGCAGGAACACCGATGGTGAGGGCTTGTGATCCAGTAAGAATAAGAAGTGAGAGCAGTAACGATCAGAATCAGGGTGACAAGCTGAAGTTGGGACCTGTGTGGCCCAGTGTAAGCAGGAGGTTAGAAGCCAAACAGAAAAACAAAAACACATGCCATAGGGCACAAGTCCAAAGTTCAGGTAGAAGAGGAGAAGCCTAGAGATCTAGGGAAGATAGAAGGTAGATGAAGAGATGGGAAAACAGAGTCTACCCTGAGGCTTAGGACTTGTAGAGAGACTTTGTTGTAAAAGGATGAAGATAGACTGGACTGGGTAGCTTCTAAGCCAACATAGAGCCTGACAGTAATTAGTGGGAAAGAGTTTCAGGGAAGCACTGACCAGGTCTACCTCCCACAAAAGGCTTAAGACAGCTAAGCTGGGGACTCACTCACCTGGATGCATTGATGATAATGAGATCTCCCTGTTTGCCAACTTCCAAAGATCCGTGTGTGTGAGATTTTCCCAGTGCATAGGCGGCATTGATGGTGGCTGCGGCCAAGGCCTCCGGCATGGACATTCTCATGTTTACACAGGCCAGATGCATGACCATGGGCTGAGACGGAAGAGGAAAGTGTCAGAGGAAAGTAGCAAGATGGGACATTTTTCTCAGCACAGCACAACAAATAATGGTGATTAAACATGTAGGTGGAAATAGCTTGATTGATATGGGAACACTCAAACTTATACATAAAGGTTCTTATGCTTTAGAAAAAATTCCTTTATTATCGAGATTACCCCCAATTGTATTTAATATTTATTTACAACTTTCCCAGATCACTTAGTGTATAATATAAAGCTCCCTCCAGGCTTACTCACTAAAACTCCTTTGAACTTATCCTATTCTCTCCGAGGGAAAAATGGGTTATTATAAAGCCACAATGCCCAAGGCTATCAGAAAACTATGCAAACAGGACCTTTTCTCCTTCCTCTGTGCAAAAAAATCCAAATACACTACTATTTATTTTTTTCTTGTTACACAGAAAAGTATTTTTCATGTTTGATACACTTTAAAATAAATATTTTTAAATTATTTATATGCTTGATAGAAGTTTGACATTCTGCTCTGAAAGGCATGTTAAAAATAATTACCATTGAAAAGCAATAGGCATTAGGGTTGAAGTCACTGCCCAAAGCAACTATTACTCCTTCATCTAACATCTTCCTGGCACGAGGTTGCTTCAGCCTAAGGGAGGGAGACAAAGAGGTCAGTGTCCAGAATGAGAGCTTTTTCGGAATAGATGTTCCAAATGGAAAAAGACTTAAGATATCCAACCCTCATTTCTTCTGGGAGAAGAAACAGAAACTCAAGGCTGAGTGACTATTGATTGATATTTCACAACTGTAGTCTACATTAATGTATGTGTATAAGATCATAATAAGTTTCAGGAAAGCACTGACCAGGGATCAAACCTGCAACCTTTTGTTGTATGGGACAACACACCAAGCAACTGAGCCACCCAGCCAAGGCTTATGCATATATTTTAACGTATAAAGCTTACTTTGTTTTTGTTTTGTTTTTCTAATTATAAAGGTAGTGCATACTGATTTTTCTTTAAATTAGAAACTCCAAAACTAGTTAAAAGAAAAGAAAAAGAGCCACCATCCCTAATCAGCCCACCACTGAAAGTCAGTTTAGTTCTGAGCTCCTTCCTCAGAGTAATTCATTTCTGAACATCATTCCAGAATTGGCACCTTCCATGAGCTACGTTTTCTTGATCTGCATTTTAAGGGATTTGGAAGGGCAATGAGATGATAGGCATCTTGCAAGTCTGTGTCTTCACAACGTGTACTTGCAGCTCTTGTGTGGGCGTGAGGAAGACCTCACCTGAGCATGTAGGCCGTGGTGGGCAGAAGGACTGCGGAGCACCCAGCCGTTGCCATGGCAGCAATGCCTTCATCACTCACTTCTTCCAGATGACTGATTGCCCGGGCTCCCAGTTCAGCCCCGAGCTAAGCAGAATGAAGAGAGAGAAAAAGATTTAGCAGCAACAACAAATGAAGTGCCATAAAACTGCTTTTCCTGCCAAGATAAACAGCACTCCCTTATGAAGATTTCCTGTCAACTACCTCTCACAAGCACAAGCCCCAAAATGGATAAAAGGTTTGTGATGGACATTCGTTTGAAAATTAGCTAGTGTGCTGCTTTAACAACTATTTATCTACACAAATGCTTGCTGACCTTTTTCAGACATTTGCTAAAAAAGAAAAGGTTATGGATCTTATGAATCAGAATAGAACACTGAGTAATATTGATAACAACATCTATTATAGCATCCTAAAATCACGATAAAAATGTATCTTGGAATACCACTGCTCTCAGTGAAAATCAGTTAAGAAAACAAACTTTAAAAATGCAAATCACTCAGAGAAAAGGAGCCGTGGGTCAAACTGTTGGGCCTCAGAGGGAGGGAAGGGATAAAAGGGAGAGATCAACCATTGGACTTATGTGCACACATATGAGCCTAACCAGTGATCAAGGACAATGGGGGAGGTGGATTGGAATGGGTGGTTGAGGACAAATATGTGATACCTTAATCAATAAAGAAATTAATTTTAAAAATGCAAATCATGTGTGTAATTTGAGAATGCTTCTTGAACTTGAGTTCTCTCCAACAAAGTTTGGCTAGATTGTTAGAAACACACACACACACACACACACACACACACAAAAAAAAAAAAAAAAAAAAAAAAAAACAAGAAGAGGCAATGCTATGAGGATCATGGAACCATTAACGAGAATTTTTTCTCATTTTTACAATTTTTTACATTTGAACACACACACACACACACACACACGCAATGCCCAGGGAAAAAGGTGGTATGTTAAGACATATTCCAAGGAGAGGAAAGGAGAGGAGATAATATTTGACATTACACTATAGCCCAGAGCGGCTGCAGTCCCCACCCACCAGGGCAGGGAAGGCCCCTCAGCAGCAGCTGGCCCAGGTCTAAGAGCGTCCGGACCACAGGACAGACTATGATCCCCCAGAAGAGTTCCCTTCTGACCTTGGAATCGACCTCGCTTTTCCAAACTTGATTTGCTCATCCTGGGTACTGACCTCTATTGATTTAATTCACCCGTCACTCTCTACAGCCAAAAGTGTCTTGTTGACCACCCCGTTCAGGTGTCATTTAACAAATATTCAACAACTGTTTACTTAGTAAAGGCCATGGGTGTGCCAGGCACTGCGCTAAGCTCCAGGGTCAGGGCTGTTTAAAACGTGTGCAGTCCTCGGTGTTTGCAGTCCAGCAGGGATCGCAGAGGCAATTTTAACACCGTGGGGTAAGTACAGGAGGAGCTGTAACCCACCGCTGGAGAGCTTTGGGAAGGACCTCAGAGAAGCAAAGATGAAACATGGGTGCCGAAACTGGTTTGGCTCAGTGGATAGAGCGTCGGCCTGCGGACTGAAAGGTCCCAGGTTCGATTCCGGTAGAGGGCATGTACCTTGGTTGCGGGCACTTCCCCAGCAGGAGGCAGCTGATCGATGTTTCTCTCTCATGGATGTTTCTAGCTCTCTATCCCTCTCCCTTCCTCTCTGTAAGAAATCAATAAAATATATTTTAAAAAAGAAAAGAAACATGGAATGGAGTTAGAAAAAAAACGAGACAAAGGGGAGTTGGAGTTGGGATTAGAGAAACAATATGTGCAGAGGCTGGTAGTTTAATGCGGCTGATCCTAAGTAGACAGGATGAAGGTGGTGGAAAGCGAGAGGAGAGAGAAAGGAAGATAGAGTGATAAACTAGGGCTGGATCCTGGCAAGCCTACATATAGGGAGTTTGGAATTCGCCCTATGACCAATGGTAAGCCTTTAGGTGGTTAACAGATTAAAGTGGAGGCAAGCTTAGAGGCAAGAGCAGTGGTTACAGGAATCCATGTGAGAGCTGATGGTGGTTGGACCCAGGCAGTGGGGTAAAGAGAGGGGGACCTACAGATATGCAGGAGGAAATTGGCAGGACTTGTTGGTTGGCTAAAATGTGGTGGATGAAGGGGACGGAAGAGTTAAGTGAGATTAGGTTTTTTATTTAGGCCACAGACAATGGTATCCTCACTGGTGCAGGAAACACAGGGCACAATTTGGAAGTGATTTTAGAAGCTCAAGCAGGCCACGTGGCTAAGACACATGTGGGGTATCTACATCTGTATTTATACCCAAGGGCAGTTGTTCATTTAGCTCCTCACCCCACTCACAAGCTGTCTTATTCACTGATGAGATCTCTGTGCCTTCAATAGTGCCTGGCACACACTAGACACTCAAATATTTGTTGAAAGCGTAAGTCACATGTGTCAAACACAAGGCCCGCGGGCCAAATCCGTCCCGCCAGGCCTTGCAATGTGGCCCGCATCGCGCTGTCATCACTGCACTCCGCTGCGTTTCCATCACAATGACAGTTTATGACTGTTCAGTAAACCATTCGGCCCGCGATTTAGGCTGGATTTTAGATTTTGGCCCCTTCTCTGATTGAGTTCGACACCCCTAGCGTAAGTAAATAAATCTTGGTAAGACCTATAGATTTGAAGATCATGTCCTGGTTATTAATGGTGTGCTTCACTCACGTTCATCTGAAAGATGCCACGGAAAACCTTAGGAGCTGCATGTGAAATTAACAGACTCTGCTAGTATGGCTTTCTGTACCAACCAAAATAGGTTGTGGATTTAGTCAGTGAGATCACAAAGGTACTTCTTTCCTATTAACATCACCAGCAGGTGATAATAAAAGTAAATTACCAGGCTGGCCGAAGTGGTGTCGACCTGTGAACCAGGAGGTCACAGTTCAATTCCCATTCAGGGCGCACGCCTGAGTTTCAGACTTGATCCCCAGTAAGGGGCATGTAGGAGGCAGCCAATCAATGGTTATCTCCCTCTCCCTTCCTCTCTCAAATTAAAGAACAAACAAAACAAAACAAAACAAAACAAACAAAAAAAGCAAAAAAGTAAATTTCTAATAGAGGTAAGGGATTCCAAGGCTCAGCCTGAGCTAGCTGTACATTGTACAAACAAATTTCTGCACTTTCTATCTTTTCAGAAGGCTGCTCCTGTCTTTGAACAAACCAGGTAAGTTTTCCATAACGTGAATGTTGACAAAGGAAAAGCCAAAAGTCAACTGTACCTCCGCAGCCTTCATTGGGTGGAGTTCATCCCCATGGAAGTTAATCTGTAACCCTATATCCTTTCCACCTTGAAGAATCCTTCTGGTGGAATCTAGATCAAAGACACCCTTCTCACAGAACACGTCTATGTTGTCAACGTGAATCTGCCCATTTCTGCCAAGCTCCTTCAGCTTTGGGAGGTGGTTATTGATGATGTCATCAGCAGCTTCAATAGCAGTTTTTCCTCTGAGGAAAGAAAAGAACATTTCCATGGGCAAATATAGTTTTTAACTGGAAGAAAGGTTGGGTTGGTTTTTTGTTTTTTGTTTTTTTGTTTTTTTTGGTGTTTGGGGAACCTGAGAAACTATAGGTAAATGAACTCAAGCCCCAGAAAAGTGCAGAAAGAATCAAAACTATTAACAATTGTGACATGCCTACAAAGCAGAGGTATTAATAAGACTTCTATATGCTCTGACCCTATTCACAGAGACTCTGACCCTATTCACAGAGACTCATCCATTCTGGCACACCAGTGTTGCCTTTGGGAATGCTGGCAAGGCAAGGTCATCTGGCTGGAAAAAACAGAATCTATGCCCTAACTGATTTGGCTCGGTGAATAGCATGTCGGCCTTTGGACTCAAGGGTCCCAGGTTCGATCCCGGTCAAGGGCATGTACCTTGGTTGCAGGGATGTGCAGGAGGAAGCTGGTTGATGATACTCTCTCATCAACATTTCTGACTCTCTATCCCTCTCCCTTCCTCTTTATAAAAAAAAATTAATAAAATATATTAAAAACAACAACAACAAAAAACATACACAAAAGAATCTACTTGGCAAGGGCACCTAGAGGGCATCCTGGAGACTTCAGCAGTGGTTCTCAACCTGTGGCTTGCCTAAGACTATTGGAAAACACAGATATTTACATTACGATTCATTAACAGTAGCAAAATTACAGTTATGAAGTAGCAATAAAATAATTTTATGGTTTGGGGTCACCACAACATGAGGAACTGTATTACATGGTCGTGGCATTAGAAAAGTTGAGAACCGGTTGGCGGAGGAGAATCCAAGATGGCTGCACAGGTAAACACCTAGCCGCAGCAATTTCAATAAAATACAACTAAAATATATATAAAATGGACATTACCCAGAACTACAAGAAAGTTGAATGACTGGAAATTCTACAACGAGAAGGAAGGAGAAAACCAGAAGGAAGAGCGGAGGAGCTGTAAAAGCCTAAGGTACGGAGACATGCGGCGCGCGCAGAGAGAATGGAGCCGGAGAGGAGGGGGCGGCTGAGTGCCTGGCTGGTGTTCCCTAGCTGGAAGGAGATAAAAGCTCCGACTGTGCTAAACCCCAGACCCCAAGGACTGGCCAAGAACCTGCAGTTCTAGGCCAGACCTTGGGGACCCAGGCTCAAACAGAGGGAGCTGGGGCTGTGAGGAGGAACCCAGGGGGAGCAGCGAAAGGAGATCCCGGAGGTGTGCACATTGTGCGCAGAGAAGGGACTGTTGGCTGTGCCGCGGGATTGCCTGGCGGGAAGGAGACAAAAGCCCCAGTCTGCTCTGAACGCCACCTCCAACTCCACTTCCAACTGAACTGAACCCCAGTTCCGGGCTCATTGGGGGAGAACCTAGACTGTTTGGTAGCAAGCAAAAATCGAGGGCACCTTTCTCTCAGAGGTGCTTGCAATGAGTACTGAAGGACCCTGGGGATTACTGAGACTCAGGAGCCGCATAGGTGGGGCTGACGGAAGCCAAGGCTGTAGGCTCCACCCTGAAACTCCGCCCCATCAGGAAGCTGAAAAAATGCTGAGACAAGAAAATAGATCAAAAACGAAAGAAATGGAGGACAAAAGGCGACTGGATATAGAGTTCAAATCTACGCTTATAAGGTTTTTCAAGAATTTCCTAGAAAAGATCGATAAGACCTATGAGCTTATGAAAAGCGATCGACTAGAATTAAGGAATCAACAAGAAATAATAAGGGATCAACAAGAAATAATAAGGGATCAACAAGAAATAAAGAATACATTGTCTGAAATAAAAAATATTATACAGAGTCCTAAAAACAGAATGGGAGATCGCAAGAATCAAGTCAAAGATTTGGAACATAAAGAACCAGAAGACACTCCTCCGCAGAAGCAAGAAGGCAAGAGAATACAGAAAATTGAAGATAATGTAAGAAACCTCTGGGACAACTTCAAGCGAACCAACATCAGAATTATGGGAGTCCCAGAATAGGAGAGAGAGCAAGATATCGAAAATATACTGAAAGAAATAGTGAAAGAAATAGTGAAAGAAAACTGGTGAAAGAATTAGACTTACAAGTCCAGGAAGCGCACAGAACTCCAAACAAAAGGAATCCAAAGAAGACCACACCAAGACAAATCATAATTAAAATTCCAAGAGCAAAAGAAAGAGAATATTTAAAGCAGCAAGAGCAAAGAAGGAGCACCTATACGATTGTCACCTTATTTCTCAACAGAAACCATGCAGGCCAGACGGGAATGGCAAGAAATATTCAAGGTGATGAATAGTAAGAACCTACAGCCAAAAATAATCTACCCAGCAAAGCTATCACTCAGAATCGAAGGCCAGATAAAGAGCTTCACAATAAAAAAAAGCTAAAGGAGTTCATCACCACCAAACCAGAATTATATGAATTGCTGAAGGGGGTTCTTTTAGAAGAGAAAGTAAATAAAGATAAAAATTATGAACAACAAATACGTAACTATCAACAAGTGAATCTAAAAACCAAGGAAATTAAAAAAAAAATCTGATGAACAATATTAACTATTGAATATAATAGAATCAGAGGTATGGAAGGGGAGTGAACTGACGATTCTTGGGGAAAAGGGGAGAGGGGGATGTGGGAAGAGACTGAACATAAACTGTGCACCTATGGATGAGGACAATGGGGGGTGGGGAAAGGGCAGAAGGTGGGGTGGGAACCTGGTGGAGGAGAGCAATGGATGGGGGGGTGGGAGGGAATAATATGAACAATAAAATTTATTTTTTTTAAAAAACTTGAGAACCACTGATCTACACTATTTCTAAAAGCATCTGCCTAAGGCTTCCTGTCTCACCATCTGGGGACATGGGAGAAGAGGCTAGTAGAACGCCCCAACATTCTCACTAAGATTCTGGGGTAGTTACATATTAGGAAGGGCTGGGCTTTTGAAGTCAAATACACATAGAGCTCTGCCACTTGCTGGCTGCCTAACTCTGTGGACATGCGATTTAGCTGTCCTTTGGCACACGCTGAGCCTCGAGATGCAGACCTCTACGTAATTCGTTCCCACTTTTTAATAATAAATGTCAGTCAATTTCTTTAGTTCCTCTGAAGATGGCACACACAAAATTACCATTAAAAAATGTTATGTTTTAGAGTTCCCGGAAACAAAATATATTTATAAAATACATAAATTCTTTTTTCAAATAATTTTTTGCAAGCCTGTGACATTTATATATCTAAGTTGTCACAGCCTAAACTTGCACTGAGACTGTGGAGTAGCCTGTGAATTTCCGAGTCCTGCCTTTCTTTGGGATCATTAGCTCTGGGACTGCCTTCCCGCCTGGAAATGCCAGGACACAGAAGATGCAGATGCAGCAGGAGACAGCCACCGCATCTCTCTCTGTTAACCAACAGAGTTGTGAGCACCTCCTCTTCCTTCACCATCAGGGGGCTAGCCAAGTGATGGGTCTGGTGGGTAACGGGTCTAGGGGTTACCTCCCTAGAACCATGTGTGAGGTGACTGGCCATCAGAACCACACCACCTTCCCAAGGACGTCTACAGATCTCTCTGCAAGAGCTAAAGCTGTGAGCCGCCCTGGGGGAAAGCGGCTCCCTCAATGCCCGCCCAAGTTACACGCCGGTCCATCGGCTGCTTACTTTGGCACGGAGTGAGCCCCGCAGTACGTGGCCGAGATGCCAATGGGCATCTGCCGCCGGGCGCGCTCGATCACGCGGAGCATCTTGAGCTCGGTGTCCAGGTCGAGGCCGTAGCCGCTTTTGCACTCCACCAGCGTGGTGCCCGCCCGCAGCATGGCCTGCAGCCGCTGCTGGAAGGAGCCCAGCAGCTCCTCCTCCGAGGCCTGGCGCGTGCGCTCCACCGTGAAGTTGATCCCTCCTCCGGCCTGGTGGATTTCCATGTACGTGGCTCCTGCCAACTGAACACCAGCTCCCCGTTAGGCAGGGCACATGCAGGGAGTGAGGGAGGTTTGATAGTTTGATATTCAAAATGATTCACAGTCTGTATGCCAGGGCGCTAGCCCAGTGGTCCGCAAACTCATTAGCCAACAGAGCCACATATCAACAGGACAACGATTGAAATTTCTCTTGAGAGCCGAAAGCCGGCTTCTGCGCATAGGCCATGAAGTTTCAATCGCACTGTGCGTGGAGGCCCACAGGTGGTATTTTGTGGAAGAGCCACACTCAAGGGGCCAAAGAGCTACATGTGGCTCGAGAGCCGCCGTTTGCCGACCACTGCACTAGCGATCAGAAAAGAGTTGGGGGGGGGGGGGCAGGGAAATACTGGGGTGGCAGAGATGCAAGGTGTGGTGGAGACTTCTGGCCTCAGGGCAGTGGCAATTTACCACTGGGTACAAAAGTATTTTGGTATTTTAACAACCCAGTCTGCCCCAGTGTATACCAGTGAACTCTCCGCCTACCCCTCAGCACCTTTAACAAAACAAAACAAAGCTAAGCTATTCCGGGGAGGGCCCCACTGCAGTCATTCAGATCTCCACCAAAGAGACCTCAGCATTTGGCCACAAGAGTTTGGGACCTGACCTCTGTGGCTCAAGTAAATGAAGAGGCTCTTGGTGGGGTGCCACTGGGCTCCTGTGTCTCTGGGCCTGAGCAGGAGTGTGGTGCAAACACATGATGCCTGCCCGGGGTCTCCGCCATTTTCATCTGGGTTCTGCCATGGCCAGCTGGACACCCTTTCCTCTGTGGACCTCACTTTCCACATCTATACAATGGGAGAATTCGATTGCAAATCTCTAAGGTTGCTTTTTTGAAACCTGGCTCTGAAACTCTGTGATTTAATAAAGAAGTCTTAAAAGCAGCTCTAGTTTGTTGAGGAAGGTACATAAAATCTGAGAATGTTTTCTTTCCCTAAATAATGTGATTTAGCTGTTAGCATACAGACTATCTTAGAAACAATATGGAGAAAACTCAAGTGCGTATTTCCAAAAGGAAAAAGCCAACCTGGAAAGACTACATATTGTATGATTCCAACTATATGACATTCTGGGCAAAGCCAAAGTGTGGAGACAGTATAAGGATCAGTGGTTGCCAGGGGTGGGGGAAGAAAAGAATGGAGAGGCAGAGTGCAGAGGATTTTGAGGGCTGTGTAACTACTTTGTATGATCCTACAATGGTAGGTGCATGTTCTTATGCATTTGTCCAAACCCAAGGTAATGTAAATATGGACTCTGCGTGATAATGATGTGTCAATGTAGTTTCCATTGTAACAAATGTACCTCTCTGCTGGAGGATGTTGAAAATGGGGAAAGACTGGGGTGTTGGATGGAAGGTTTGGTGGGAAATTTCTGTAACTTCCATTCAG